TCTGGGCTGGAGGAAGAATGATGATCTGATGAAAGGGACTTTTGTTGACTCTGTCACTTAACCGCCGCTGCCGCAACTCATGCTTCACACACCTCGCCCAATACTCCTATTGTGCCATTGTCAGGACAGTGACACTCTACTCGTCTTCTAGTATTTTCTGGTCCCTCGTACTCCTTACAGACCGATTCCATTAGCGCCAGAAACTGTGCGCCCCGAGGAGGTGCTATTCATCCCAAGATCGGAGACTAAGATGGTGCCGTGGTCCATTTGTTGGATATCGACTATCGCGGCCAGGATTATGGATTGATTGACTAGCTGGAAACTAATATCTACGTGATTCTAGCTGGATTCCGAGCGTGTTCGATGCAGGACTGCAGGACCAATGACGGTCAGTAGAAGGGCGAGATGATCTCGCACAGAGCCATAAACCCTGTCGCTAGAGTCCGAAAGTAGTCGGCCATGGCCTCTTCATAGCAAGGATTGACATCTCCCCTTGCTTTTTCCTCAGTCCTGCCATTAAATTTCGTGTCAGAGTGTAGACTAAATACTCTTGAGTTTTGATGTGAAGATTTGATGTGATTGCGCTAGTTTCTAGGTAGTCTACGTCCGCGACAGGAGAAGAGGAAAAAGAAATACAGATGCCGATGCCCCACCTCGTGCTCAGGAAAAAGCTACGGAGTAGAGTCAACAAACCAGCGCACTGATCTCGTTCCTCGTTCAGACCAGCTGGATACCTAGAGGCCGCCTCTCAATAAGAAGACTCTCTCGCCCTCTCCATTGCCATCGGAAATTGTGACTTTACACCGGCTCGGCTCATCTCTCTCTCCAGAGCCAAGACAGTTGTTCCTCTTTCCCCTCCCCGAGTCCGCTGTCCAACGGTCCAACCACCGGCTAAATTGTCACACCACCTCACCTTTTTACCACGACTGACGATTTGGCTGCTGAGATCATATCACTCTCTCCTTCTTTTATATTTGTCTAGCTCGAGTTTACCTTCTATATCAACAAGATATACCTCCTCTGTTCTTCCCGCCAACCCTTCGGATCCCTTGCGAAACCTGTTCCCCACGGGGTTCCGCCGGCCGCCTTGGTGAAAGTCCCCCGCGCACAGGCCGTCCCGTCCAGATCTTTGTCACCTCCGACCTCCGTTCCGCCTCCTCCAAAACCTTGTCATGGCTCGCTCCGACCGACTATCTCCCTCACTGTGAGACCTCGTCGCCTGCGATCGTTTCCAAGGCTCGGGTCCTCCGCCCTCAGTCGGATGGTTACACTCGACACAGACGAGGTTACCGCAAGTTCACTACAGGGTATCGGATAAGCTCGACGACGCAAGATCGGGAACAAACCGCCACTACTGCGAGGACAAATCGTGCGCATAAGCCACAAGTTTTCCGCATCTGTCACACGACATGACATTCGTTGTTGGTACAGTGACTGGGTTGGATCAGGAACTCGACTACAAGCGAAAAGAACCGGGCGATAAGGAAGTGGCCATGGAGACCGACGGCCTGCGAGCGGACGGCGCGCCGCGCAAACGCAAGAGGGCCCGGAAAGTGAACTCGGATCGGAAGTTTGAATGTACACATGAGGGCTGCGGCAAGAGCTATTCGCGTGCCGAGCATCTCTACCGCCACCAGCTGAACCGTATGTCGGACGTCTTCCAACCGCAAGCCCGTTTCGGTGGATGCGGATGACTGATGTATAACTTGCTCTAGACACTCCCAAGCAGATTTATCGTTGCGACTTTCCGGACTGCTACCGGACATTTGTACGGCAAGATCTCTGTGTTCGCCACCGTGAACGGCACACGACGCAAGGCTCTCAGCTGCAAAAACGGGACCATTTCGCGCATGCGGCTTCGCAGAATAAACAACAAAGCCAGTTGCCTCACAATGTAGTCGATAATACTGTTCCGCAGATGGGCAGCACCCAGCAGCCGCCAATCTTGCCTGCGACTACCGTTGATTTGACATCGGCGCGCTCCGCAACCACCTTCCCTGAAGGCGGGGTGGAGACTCTGACACCGCAGTCGGCCAATGGTTCTAGCAAGCATATATCAGTCTCATCGTCGGCGTCGATGTCGATCGGCCGACCCCTCAACTACCAACCGTTGGTTGCTCAGCATGGTGTGGGGACACCAGACTCGACTGCATCGAGGTCTAACAGCTTGAGCAACCATAGCATTAATTCTCCTCCTGGTCAAGCAAATGCTCCCTTCAGCCCTTCAGACCTGCAAAAGCCAGCGTATGTGCCGCTCACCGGCCGCCACTCCATATATCCATCGGGCAGCCCTAGTGATCAAACATGTCAACTGACCGGACTGAATCCCGTTTCTAGGACAAGACCTCAAGACGCTGCATCATACTCCATGTCAGCCGACGTCAACGGCTCTTCAGTAGTTCAGTCGCTGCCGTATGGCTCTCCGACGAGCCTACAAATGCCTGTCGGTGGATTTTCCGACCTTTCGATGAATACCATGCCGCCCTCCACCCAGGCGTCGCTAGACAGATCAACCAGCATTACTGGATTAGATTCCCTGTCGGGGATGATTGCTTCCGCAGATCCTGCATTCGACCCGATGGCCTCTTGCGTCTACCCGATTTTCGGCGGCGAAACATACAACAACCGCTCCCCCTTTGCGATGGCCGATGACTTCACCGCCTGGCTGTTCAATGAACCTATTCCGGGATCGTCGTCCCTGGCCTATCCTCCCACGGCTCCCATGATGCCGAACTATCTGGATCCAACACAGCTGCAGAATCAGTTCCTCATCAGCGAGCCAGCGTTCGGCAGTTTCCTGAATGGCGTTCTTCCGCAACATCCAATGAGTGTCACCAGTATCTTAGATCCAGGCTCGCCCCAGGCGATCATGTCGGAGGAGAAGCGACAGGAGTTGCTGCATCTCATGGCCACTCGGTTCAATGAAGCCGCCTATTCAGCGGTGGCGAAGCGCAAGGATGCTCTGATGGACGGAGACGTCGACGATGACAGCCATGTTCTGAGCTTGCGCATGATGCAGACATATATCGGCTCTTACTGGTATCACTTCCACTCGCAGCTCCCCATTCTGCACCAACCTACTTTCGTGGCGGATAAGGCGCCAAATCTACTTCTCTTGGCCGTCATGGCCATTGGAGCAGCCACACTGGACAACATCCACGGACAAGAGGTTACCGAGACGGCTGCAGAACTGGCCAACTTCATCGGGTGGCATCTTCGATGGGAGATTTTCATGGACGCTGATTTCCGACCACCGGCCAAGCTCTGGGTCTTCCAGGCTTTACTCCTACTCGAGGTCTTTGAAAAGATGTACTCGACTCGCGCGTTGCACGAGCGCGCGCATATTCATCATGACACCACCCTGACGCTGATGCGTCGCGGCAGCTCGTTGATCGGCCGCTCCGCTCTCGACTCACCGGCAAGCTTCAGAGATGACCGGCAGACCCGGTCCACGACAGGATCTGCTTCGAATTCGGAATTTGCTGCTGACGATTCCTGGACACACTGGATCAAGGCGGAGGCCACCAGGCGGGTTGCATTTGCGGCCTTTGTGCTGGACTCGACCCATGCCACCATGTTCGGGCATTCGGCGAAGATGGTGGCCCATGAGCTCCGGCTCCCGCTGCCCTGCGACGAAGCCTTGTGGTCCGCCACCAGTGCCGCCGAAGTTGCGCGCGTTCAATCCAGCCTCCATGCAAACGGTGTGAAGCCGACCATGTTTCTCGACGGGCTCAAGAAGACGCTCAACGGACAGCGCGTTACCACGAATGCGTTCGGGCGCACTATCCTGATGGCCGGTCTGCTTAGTGTCAGCTGGCACATGAATCAGCGCGACCTGCAAGTCAGCTCGCTGGGCGTTCCGCAGGCCCTCGGTGGCCGAGACAAATGGCGATCAGCCCTTCTACGAGCTTTCGATAACTGGCGGCGCGATTTCGACGAGGCCCTGGCACAGGCAGGACCTCCTCCATTCCCTAGCCAATACCGGCGTCATTCTCTCGAAGACGAGGGCGTTTCCGAATCCCGGGACGTCCTGCACGGCCTGGCTCACATGGCCTCGCATGTCGACATTGTGGACTGTCAGATATTCGCAGGAGCTGGCCGACTCATGGGGCGATCGATCACTCCACGGGACTACAGCGCTGCCCGTGAGAAGATGACCGAACGATGGGCCACCAAGGCGTCAGCGCGAGACGCGACGTTTTACGCCCTCAAGTTTCTCTCCGAATGTCTTTTGAATAATCGGAGTGTATCCGAAGAAAGCGGAGTCTACTCCGGACGCGATGACTATCTGCTCAACCGGCCGTGGGTCATCTATGTCGCAGTGCTGGTCGTCTGGTGCTATGGATATGCGCTCGACGGGCCAATCGCCTCGCCTCCAGCGCTGGAAACGGTAGCTGAACAGCGACGCGACATGGAAGCCTTTCTCCGCCGGGTGGGCGGGGTGCGTGAGCCGAATGAGTTGGCGACGATGAAGGGTCGCAACCAGTGCCTCGGCCTGTTGATGACTATAGCGTTTGGCTTTGCGAACACTCGGTGGGAGCTGCTCTCAGAAGCATCCAACCTGTTGCAAAGCTGCATCAACAAGCTGCGGAACCAGACACCGCGATCGAGGTGAAGCCTTCACATCTAGGTAATACTCGATATATGGGATATATGTTTTTTTGGAGGAAGGTCTGCCATGTTATGATTTGATTATTGTTTGCATGATGTGATACCACGGGTTGGCGATTGCTTTGTATACTGTTGATAGGGATATCTAGTATGGAGTATATATTGAACCTTTCTCTAACTTACATGTATTCGACTCGACTAAACCAGTCCATTCCAGCCTTGCATACATTTAGTGCCAGAAATAAGCTATGTCATCTCGTCTGGATCGCCGGGGTCAGTCATCCACCCTTGCTGGTTACCACAACAACCACCCGCCTAAACACCGCCAAACCCACACCGGGCCAACCTCCAATCTTCACTCCTCGCATGATCATCTCTCAAATCCATTATCTACGGCCGTCTTCTTACGTGTTTGTAAGCGTCTATCATTGTTTACCATCTTAACAATATATTTGTCGCAGGCATTGACTCTCCCTTTCTTTGTTGCAGCAATACCGAATCTACCCCTGAAACGACAAATATCAACCATGGTACGTCTGGAATCCCCCCTCCACACCAGCACAGAACAATACGGAGGAATGTCGCTTGTGGATAACCTCACGAGGAGATCGGAAGTGAGAGTGAAACTGCATGCAATTCCTCCTGTCCCGTTGCTACTTCCTCCCTTGCGTCGCGTCGTCTTTCTGTTTGGTGTTTTGCCGTTGCGCTGCTGCCATTCTCAGATCGCCGCCTCTCCCCTCATCTTCACGGCCTGTAACAAACCAGTCAGTGGTTCTGGTTCCGGCTCTGGTTCCGAACAACTGAACTTCCCTCTGTCATTTCATTTCCATCTCAACTCCTCTTCATCACCAATCGTTTATCCGCTACCTGCTGGAAAATAAGATTGTTCTTTAAAATGCCTCGCTCACCTGATTCTCACAACGACCAGGCCTCAACCAACTACAAGGAAGCGTTCTCGCTTTTCGACAAGCGCGGCACGGGAAAAGTATCGCTTGAGTCCCTCGGTGACCTGCTGCGCGCATGCGGCCAGAACCCCACCCTCGCGGAGATTGCAGATCTGGAGAAGAGTATCGGCGGCGACTGTAAGCTCAAGTTTTCTTTGTGACCTGGTTTGGCTAGTGTGGTGCGGCAAGCTGACAGTGCACTAGTCGACTTCGAGTCGTTCCTGAAGGTGCTGAACCGCCCTGGTGGATTCCGGGAGCCCGGCGAGCCCGAGGATTATTGTCGGGGATTTCAGGTGTTTGATAAGGATATGACTGGGTTTATTGGGGTGGGGCAGTTGCGTTACAGTATGTTGCTCTGCGTTGCGCGTTCAGTTGGGTGTGGATAGGGTGCTGACTGCTGTAGTTCTCACGAATCTGGGCGAGAAGATGTCGGATGAGGAGGTCGATGAGCTGCTGAAGGCGGTTGATACCAGCTCTGGCGAGATCAACTACACCGGTATGTTTCTCGTCTGGTTTACTCGGCTAATAGACAATGGCTAAACTGATACCGCAGAACTCGTCCGCACGATCCTGGCCAACTGAACGATTACGATACCCCCCTTGACGCTTCCACGATGGTTTTACGATGTGCGCTGCGCGTCCGTCCACGCAGTCGGTGACTTGACTTGTCGGCTCCGCTTTAGCAATTAGTTTATATTCAGATAATATGACTTTTGTACTTTTGTACTGTATCTCCTTGTTTATTTCTGTAGACGAAGATGAAGATGTACACCCGTAGGATACTATTGAGCAATCCACCCGCTCCACTCCCTATCCATCGCCCGCATCTTCTCCTCATCGCCCATAATCTCCGTCTCCACCAACGCCCCAGGAAGTAAATATACAACCCGCGGCTCCTGATCCGCCCTTTCCCCTTCACCTACATCCTCACCCTTCCCATGAGCAACAGGGAAATGCACCGCATCAAGGAGATACCCCACTACAACCCGACACCGCCCACACCGCAGGAACCGCCTCTTCTCGAACCCGTCTTCCCGACGGATCAGCGTCGCCTTGCGATCGGGGAGTGTTGTGGATAGCAGGATGGTGTAGTGTTTCTGTTTGCGCCTTGTACCCGTCCTTCGCTTTCGCTTTTTTGGGTTTCAGGTCGGTTGGCTTCGGTCCCGGGTTCGGGGGATGTGGTTGTGTCTGCGTCTGCGTCTGCGTCTGCGTCTAGCTCGTCATCATCGTCGTCGTCGTCGTCGTCGTCGTCGTCGTCGTCAGCGTGCGGAAGAGGGAGAATCAGGGCGTTATCCTGCGCTGGGGCTTTTCGGCGGGGGAGGGTCGCTATCGTGCGTGTTGTGGCTAGGAGGAGGTGGTTGCAGAAGCGGCAGTGGTGGGTGTGAACATTTAGGCGTTGTGGCTGTTCCTGTTGGTAGTGTTCGGGTTGGTTGTCTTGTTGTTGAGGTGAGGCGGAGCGCGATGGCGAGGCGGAGGGGTTTGTATTTGACATTTTTATTTATTATTTTGGCCAAGTCAGTGTGAGTTTCGTGGGTAGTTATCTCGGGTTGGAGGTGGTGAAGTAATAACGGAAGAATTTAAGTTGAAGTGGTGATGTAGCGGGTTGAGAGGACTTGTCTTATCGATAATGTGGATAGCTAGCTAGCTACAGCACCACTTTACACGGAAGGAGTTACATTGCTAATATAGGTACGAAGCGAAGCGAATTCTTGATTGTTTAGCTTCTAATCAATTGATGTAGACCGATTAAGCCAGTCCCAATTCCTTGTAAAAGGCGTCGGTCTTGGGCTCGCGGCCGAGGAAGTCGGTCAATGTCTTCATCTCGTCCTGGCTGCCGCCCTTCTCGAGGACGCCGTAGCGGTATCTGCGACCGGCCGCTGGGTTCATCGGGTCGTCCTTGAAGACGGTGTAGAACATGTCGGTCGAGTAGACTTGGGAGCTGCGGTCGGTTAGATGATTGCAAGTACTCAATCGAAAAGAAAAGGCTGTTTACCTGAGATATCCGTAGTATCCGGCATCATAACCCCCAATCAAATGACCAAAAGTTGCTTCGCCGTGGCCCCATTCTTCTCCCATTCCTAGGACCTCTGGGCCGTCCTGCAGCGCGATCTGCTTTCGCAGCTGGTTGTATGTGGCGGAGATGGGCAGCTTCTGGATCCGCTCGTGGCTCTCGGCTTCGTGTACGGTCATGTCGAAGATGCCAAAGTGCAGCTGGCGGAGGTTGAACAGCGCATCGTTGACGTGCTTGGTCCGGATCAGGTTCTGTATGACCTCGTCGGGAATGCGCTCGGGCGGCTGGGACTTGCCGTTGGCCTGTTCTTGCCATGAGGCGAGGTACTCAGGCGACAGGGTCGAGTAGTGCTTGCTCAGAGACTTGAGCTGGGACGGTGTCCAGCACCAGTTCTCCAGCATCTGACTGGGGGCTTCCACAAAGTCCCGGACAGTGCTGGTTCCGTGGAAGCGCGAATAGATCGTCTTGGAGACGAGGTCGTGGATCCCGTGTCCGAGCTCGTGGAACAGGGTCACCACCTCGTCGTGCTTGAGGAGACTGGGTTTCTTGGCCGTGGGCTTGGTGAAGTTGCACACCAATGCAGTGGCGGGGTAGCGCCGCTTGCCGTCAGCGTCGATGAAGCCCTGCACTTGTTAGTCAAATGATATTAAACCTTATGTGTCTCACATACCGGCTGGAGATTGAAGTTGGCCGCGTGGCCGTACTTGCCAGGGCGGGGGAACAGGTCCAAGTAGAGGTAGCCCACGAACCCACTGCCCTCGCCCTCGTCATTCCAGACGCTAAAGACCTGGACATCTTCGTGCCAGACGATATCGCTTCCCTTGCCGGTGGGCGCAACCTTTTCACGATCCTCGCCCGTAATCTCAACGAAGACAAGGCCAAATAGCTCTTCGAAGATCTTCAGCATGCCCTCGATGGTCGTCTGCAGGGGAAAGTACTCGGCGATCAGTTGCTGATCCAGCGAGTAATCCTTCTCAAGCATGAGGCGGTCGTAGAACCGGTGGTCCCACAGGTAGTAGCGGCCATCAAAGGACTCGCCGCGAGACTCGAGATCTGCCTTCTTGAGCTCCAACAAAGCCTTAATCTCCTTGTGTCCTCCGGCAGTCAGACGCGACCGCAAGTCTCCCAGGAAGTCGTCAACCGTCTTTGGGGTCTTGGCCATCTTGTCTTCAATGCGGAACGCCGCGTGGTTGGGATATCCAAGCAGACGAGCGGCCTCGTCCCGCAGGATGATGGCCTCCCGGAACAGAGGCACGTTTTGGTTGCACTTGTTCTCGTTCTCGATCATCAGCCGCTTGCGCGTCTCCGCGTTCTTCGCATACTTCATGGTCGGGAACAGATCGGGATACTTGAAGGTCAGCCAGAGCTTGCCTTCATGCTCGCCCTCGCCCTTCTTCAAGCCGGATAGAACGTCTTCCGGCACGCCGTCGAGCTCCTCGCGCGTGAACCAGATTCCACCGTTCTCCTCATTCAGGTTCTTCTGGAATTCAATGCTAATCTGGCTCAGACGCTTCTTGATCTCCTTGAAGCGATCACGCTTCGGTCCGGCCGGAAGGCCCAGCCCGTTGCGGATGTAATCCTTGTGTTCCTTCTCCAGCAGTCTCCGGGACTCGGGGTCGAGGCTCTCGTTCTTCTTCAGCACAGCATCAACGAGCTTGAATACGTCTTCACGCATCACAGTCTCAATGAAGAACTCGTCCATCAGCTCCTCTGCCTTGGATGACGCATCCCGGAGCTCCTGCTCCGTAGACACGGCCTGGTAGAAGCTCAAAATGTGGGATTCCAACGCCATGGTATTCTCATCTTGGGCCAGAGGCTTCAGTACCGAATCGAAAGTCGCTGATTCGGGCTTGACATTCGCAACGACATTGTCCTGCACTTTGCGGGATGTTTCGATGAGGCGCTTGGCATCGTCGACGATGGACTGAGCAGTCGCGGTAAAGAGGGGCGGGGCCTGCGGGGGCCGACGCAGATGTTCGGGAGCCATGCTGGCGGTGGTGAGGGACTTGCGAAGATCGGTCAATGCGGAATTGTAAACGGCGGTAGTGGTAGGTAATCGAGAGCCACGAAGCTGGCTCAAGACCGAAGAGAGTCTGAAAGTGGGGGAGCTGAGGCGGAGAGGAGGAGCCACGGTGACAAGAAGAACGCCCGCGAGGAGGACGAGGGCGTGCAGATATAAAGCGCGAGAGAACAGTGGACTAATGGTGACGGTAGAGAGGGGCAAATCGCTAGGACAAGGCGGGTAGACCTCTAGCTTGAAGTAACAGATTATAAATAATCAAATGGCGATACACACGATCTCAATAGACGATAATTAAAGCTTTGATCCCGATGGAGTGCTCTCTAACTCCGTCCCTCCTGGCTGACAGTTCATTACTTGATTGGGTTTAGTATTCCTATTTAGGTGTAGTATCATGATCTGTATACTCCTCTACTCCACAAGGGACTCTACAATAACGTAGTACTACCTTACAGTATCTTCTTCTACTCTTCCCAACTGCTCATTTATTAATCGCTAAGGTATCTCTACTTATTAGCCAATCTACTTCATACTCTGCTTTACTGTTGTTAGGGATAGAGTACGCGCTGGGCTGCGATTCCCCTCTCGGCAAAAGACCACTACCGTCAAACCATGTGGTCAAACCATGCTCAGCCACTATACATTTGGATAGTTCTCCGTACGACCCTCTCCCATCTGGAGAGGACATATACCTCTATACTCCGTAGCTCTAACAGTGGGAGTTATCTACAACTTGTTATGTGATGTGGTAGGGCCTAACCCTCCGCATACCCGGTCAATGGCCATTGGTCATGTAGGCAGCCCTATACCTCACCTACTGTATCAAATAGTATGCTATTCTACATAGTCTAGGACACTGGAGATGAGCTTATCGTGAAAACAGCAACTAGATAGATCGTGGAGAGCATGGACAGAAGGCGCAGCCAATGAAATGCACGATTCAGTATGTCTTGGCGAGGAATCAGGTAACTTAAGTAATGGCGCCTTTACGAATTAAAGGCTTTCTTGGCCTCTTGCATGCAAAGGTAATCCTTTACATTCATTAGGTCTTGCTAATGTTTCAGAGAGTACTTCAGCATAGGATGGTAAGCTGGATCCAGGGCTTTTATAACCCAACCGCTTGGCGTAGATTGAGAGGGCCTAATACTACTATCGTAGGCACTTTGTGGTTCGAGGTCAAGTTAGGTTGACACATTGGAGTGGGTAATAGTGGTCATCATTTGTCACGTCAGGCAGCTCACCTTCCGCTTCCCGACAGTGGACACTCTTATTGAAGTTACTTGCCAATGCAGAGCCAAGGTAGAGAACAGAATGTCATGTCTCCTGTAGATGTGATTAGACGCAATAGATCAGCTGGTGGAGCTGTCGAGAGGGCATCAGAAGCCTTTGGCTGTGGTCACATGCAAGTTGTCTGGGGCAGCGAATACTTGGCTCAAGGACTTTCAGCTACTGATGATAACATCGGATTAGTGTAGCATGGTGAAGGGGCGTAAGGAGGATTCAGCTTGTATGAGGCAGACACTGGCTGATAGCCATATGTCAACTTCTTTGTGAAGGGGAAAAACTGGACAGGAAAGCAGCGGAGACTGCATCTCGGCTCCTTTCCCAAGTCTAATTTCATTCGATCTAAGATGACAGCCAGCAATATTAGGCAACCTCCTGCGAGGGGATGGCATGATTATCGACAATAGCATACAATTCAATCAGGGGGAAAAGTACGAGCGAGCTCCCAGTTCTGAATGCTGTAGCAGCTAAGTCTTAGACTAAGTACTGGTGCTGCTTAGCTCGGCTGCCGCAGAACTAACCAAGACGAGATAGTGCATCCCCTCGTTGCGGTGTTTCACAGAGCTTTGTCAATTAGCCTTCTAACCCCGGAATTGCTCTTTTGTTTATCTTAATCTCCTACCGACTCCAACTAAGGTTTTTATCATTAACTCCTGCTGGCCATTATGTTTATCAAACCAGAAGCCTTCATGGTAGGTTACTTTACAGCTCTGCGCCCATCTGGTTTACTTTCCACTCATTTTTGATGGAACGAAACGTATTGGTATCATGTCTTTAATATTCGTTTCAAACAGGTCTGCGTATCTCGCATTTTTAGAATGAGTTCAGACGAACAGTTGATCGTTCGACGGATCAACTCATGAATGTGCCGAAGCATGTGATGAGCAACCCAACTCCAGCAACTCCAAACGCACCGGAAGAAAAATTTTCAGAACGCCCACAATGTGCTAGACTTTGAACATCGACGATGTGAGATGAGAGAACAGTGTGAAGAATACGCTCGAAACAAAGCGGCGGTCATAAAATAAATACAGGAGGAAAAGGAGATATAGCGTAAGGAATTGCTCATGCCGCGTCAGCGGTGGGAATGGGCTCGGGGATCTTGGTGACCTGCTGACCAGCGCGGATAATGCGCTGACCGGACTCATCGCGGACATATTCGCTGCTCTCCTTCTGAGCACGCTTCCAGATCTCAACTTCACAGCCGCCGCGGATAACGCCGACACGCATGGTAGACAGCAGGTTGTGGGCAGCATTCGAGTGATAGTAAACACCACCGTTGAACATGGCAGTAGCATCCTTGCCAATGCCGGAGTTGATCATAGCCTTGCCACCAGGGTGGTCCTTGATGAAATCGGTCACATCGTGAACAACACCCGCAATAGCGATCAGTCCGCGGCCGTTCTTGGCCTGCTCAACATAGTCATCCCACTCCATGACGGGAAGCTGGTCGAGAGGAACACCCCAATCCAACTTGGCACGCTTCTGGTCGATCTTCTTCTGGAGCTGCTGAATACGACCCTTTTCGATTTCGTTGGCACGGAACTGCTTCAGATCATAGGCCAGACCAAGCTGCTTCCAGATCCAGATGGTCCACTTGGTGGGATCATACTGGTGCCACTCAATGGCGTTGCGGTAATCCGAGGGGAATTCGTGGTGGAAGTTGTGGTAACCCTCGCCAAGGGTGACCAGAGCAGTGATGACGTGATCTCTGGGGAGTTGCGGTCGTCGAAGGGCTGATCGCCGAGCCAGTGGGCCAGAGAGTTGACGCAGAAAGTGGCTTGCTGAACGAAGAAGATACGCAGGATACCGGCATAGATGAAGCCGCCAAACCAGTCACCCCAGCCGAGACCGGCCACGAGCATGGGCACGACGAGCCCCATCATCAGGACCACCTTCAGGTAGTTGCGGTGTTGCCACACGACAACCGGGTCTTCATTCAAATCGGTGATGTCGGTACGGCCGATACGCTTGGGGTTCTGCTTCATAACCATCCAGCCGAGGTGCGAGTAAAGGAGACCCTTGCGAACTGAGTAGGGATCCTTGTCGGTGTCGGTATAACGGTGATGAGCCCGGTGGTCACGAGCCCACCAGCGGATGGAGCCTTCGACTGCACCACCACCAACGGCTGCGAGCCAGATACGCAGAGGCAGACGAGCGGAGTAGGAGCAGTGAGCCCAAAGACGATGGTATCCTGCACATCATGCATTAGTATTTCTAGAGACTCCCCAGGATATGAGTTTGTGGCAACTAACCTGCTGTGATACCGAGACCGGTGAAGAAGTAGTAGACAACAGCCCAGATGGCGGTCTTGAGCTGCAGAGGCACCCAGAAAGCCTGGATGCACCCGTACAAGGGGATACCGATGATGAGGACGACGTTCAGCCAGTTGACATGCTTGTACCAGTTCTGACGAGTGATGGCCGTGTCGGCGATATGGACCTTCTTGGGGTCACCGGCCCGTGGGCGAGAAGCGTCTGCAGGCTTCGCAGACATGTTGCCGACCTTTTGCTTTTCTCTTCAAGTCCTCTAATTTCAGGTCGGGAGGTATATCCGCAAGGAAAGGATGTCCGCACTTAGTGGTTGCCAAACCGAGGGGGGGAAAGCAGGTTGATGGGGGAGGAGCACGCTCTTTAAAAAGACGACACGGGAACGAAAGAATTAAAAAGCGAAAGAAGACAGAAGAAGGTGGGGAAGAAAGAAGCGTGAAGGCGAAAGAAAGTAGTGAGCAGACGGAAAAGGCAGGGCAAGGAGGACTTGACTGTTCAACTGCATTCACCCCAGGGTCCACAAGCCGATGATGGTTGGGGCAACGAGCGGATAGGATTCGGACAATGCAGGGCCGAGAGATGTTGCTATGATGAAAGCAGACGGGATGGGGATGGACGGAGAAGGATAACAGGTGGACTGACAACGATCAGATGCCTGTGATCATGAGATTCCGAGGTCAAACGGACACCGATCTCATAATCAAACTGCAAGTTCTGTCAATTTTGATGCCCTCACAACTGTCAAATCTGCAACCAACCATACAAAAGCTGGGTATAGAACGATTACCGCTATCAGGGCCATAAGCTAGGTTGTTGGGCGGGCGATCTGATGGCGAATCGACGGCTAGAATCTTCCACTTTCGGACTAGGGCCATCCAATCCACCAATAAGAGCACATTCGCCTTCTGTTGAATCCCCAACACTTTTTCTAAGGTACGAGGTACCGTACCTTCCTCCCTTGCAGTTGCACTTGCAGGTACCTACAATTACTAACAAATGTGGCTGAAGATCCGTTTTTGGCCACTCGCTGTCTGTGGCGGCTGCTTATTCCGGTCGAAAACCTACGTAACGGCTCAATTATCCGCGATACGTATGAATGATGAATGGTCAGGACTTCAGGCTGCACATATTTAAATCTTCCAAGGCTAGGAAAGCACCTTGTCCAAGAGTAAAATCATCGGCAGTTCACATGATTGCTGGCAGTGTTGGGAAGGAATTTAGAGTTGTTCGCATGGCACATTGCCAAGACTCTATGCCTCAGGCATCGCACACCTTCCATGTACTTCACTTCATGAGATCATAACTACGCAGAGATGATCATTATTATGCCTGCTATATTTATAGACTTTGAGAATGATGACTGCGCCAATGGCACTGCAGCGTTTTAGACTCATATGTAAGTGACGACTGTGATGAGCGTACATTTGTCCACTCTTTAACTGAAAGGGCCATCGGTCGACCGAGATACCAACAGCCAAACAAAGAAGTAGTTGCGAAGTCTGACATTAGGGAGAATGGCGACGTTTGAACTTCTTTGGGCAGATTTGCCTTATCTCTATGGTACCTGGACATAGACTTTTACAGTTCATCCGTGTGCATGAGCACTTTTAGACACCTGGAACAGGTCAGCAAGATGCAGCTGCGACTCATATCATCACTTCTACGTTCTTGTCCTCGAATCAGCTGCGGTTTGCAGGGTACGTGGCAAGTCCGTGCGTAATGAGCACTTGTAGAATGTATCCAACACTTGAGCCTACACCCACCAATTTGGTTCTTCGCCTTCCCTATATCGCAAGGTTGGCGAAGAGGATCGGATTCTGTATGGCTAGCCATGGGAACTTCCAGATTTGAATGCTTCACGCAAGAGGCATCATACTGCTCCTTATCCTTCACACTGTCTTTAATAAACTGAAAGGCATTGAATGTCCAGTAAGGCATCGTGATTTGCCAAAATGCTGGATCCTCGTGTTTCTTAGAAAACCTCGGTTGAACATGCTCATGAAATATCGTGAACAACGCGCTGGGACTACTCAGGACTAGACAGAACCAAAACGTCCCTCTCTCCCGCCCTCCTGCAAGATGGGTTGGAGGCGGAATGGCAGCTTGTTCTTTGACTCCTCCTCTAGGAGAGCCTCCATGAACTCTTTGTGAAGTATCTTGTAGTCGTCTATGCTGATCAAATCAATAGCCTAGTTCGTCAACCAGTATGGAGGCTGAATCATTTCCACTAGATAAGAGGATGCCCACTCCAGATCGATAAGACACTTGATGTTCCAATTGTCGTGCACAATGATGTTGGTCTGATCAAAATCAGTGAGGTTGAGAAAAAAGGGCCGCGGAGAAGATCTTGGCGGAAAAAGCAAGGCCAAATGCTTCTCATAACCATCAGTGCAGATGTCAAGCGTCTCAGAAAGCATCTTGGCCCACGATGGCTTGATATATTCAACCAAAAGGTAGGGTGTGCCCAGCGCAACCTGATCTTTGTTCTGATGTTGAACGTACTGGGTTGGAGTCGGATAGCCTAACCAACTTAACAGTCGACGGTGCAAACGTTGAACAGCCAGGGCTATGAAAGGCAGGTTGTCGAGTATTGTGAACTAGGGGCTGTAAGCAATAGTTCTTCTTCGAGTATACGTGAAGTTGGCATACTCTTTGGCCAGTATATAGCCCAAACCCATAAAGACGTGGAATAGGAACAGACGGATAGCTTTCTTGCAGCCATGCGTAGGTACCAGCTTCACAGCGAACTTTCTCATCCGCATTACCTGGGTACCAGTTCTCTCCAATTCGGTAAGGCAAGGGAAATCGGATCATCACCTGTCTCCAAGCGTCTTGTCGTTGGCCACCAACATCAATTCGAATACAACATTGAAGCTTCTGTGTATCCAGTCCTCCACATCAACAACATGACAGATGTCTGCAGAAGTGAGGCCGAGATGGTGGCCAGCGATTGTCGCGATCAGTCCACGATTCCGGTACAAGTGGGTAAAAAATCAAATCCTTTGATCCCAGTAGCCCAGCTGGTGGAGGATATTGGCATCTTCTTCCTTTGCAGCTCTTATGTGATCTCGCTCCGAAGCAAGCGAAGAGGTTTTAGTGTGACAGGAGAGTCATGACCCTGAGACATCCCTTCAAATCGGGCACTTTCAGTCCTTTTGACGGACAACAGGAATCGAGACCGGACCAAATCAGTCAACGACTCGGTTGAATCTCAATCTTGTCCATCAGAATAAGGGCTGTGACAGATACCATGTCGGGAAAACGATCTTCCTTTTCGAGGTGTCACTCGTCGGGGGTCTTCCTGGGGTTCACGGTGAGATAGGTCTAGTTTAAGTATGGTGTGCGGAGTACGGATATATACCGCATAATATATCCAACTACCGGAGTACTAATTTCAAACCTCGCTGCAAGCTCAATCTAGTAGGAACTAGAAACATGACCATAGGTCAGCTGTTATTGTTGAGCGATCCTCGGGCCGATCCATCTATGCATCTAAGGATCGCTCAATTGATGGATCCTGTCCCTCTATGTATATGCCAAACCAGACACAGATCCACCTCTCAGGGTCATTCTCGATTCAATCACAACTTTGAGGGATAGGGATAAAGAGATGTTATTCAGATGTCGTTCGGCATATAGCTATCAGAGCCTGTGGAAGTTCGGCGCCCCCGCCTTGCTGATAAGACAGGCTGATTTTACACAAACAGCACCTGTCAGCTAGGGCGGTTCTTATCACCTCCACACGAGTCACATCGAACAGCACTAACCGTGGTTAATGGTCAGTCCGCCAGTGGAAAGCCCCTTCTATTCCCGAGAGTGGACATCGTCGCTGCTATCTATCGGCTAAAAGAGTGCTTAGAATCCTCTTCCACGCGACGCGAGAGATAACCGATCGTCTGATTATTCGATTGATTCACGCATCCTCATTCTATCAGCTTTGATAGAGCCGTATGGCTGTTATGCTTTTAACATCCTCATCTAATCTTGCGATTTTTGCAAAATGTTCATCTTATATAGAACGCACTGGTTCCGCTCAAATTGCGGGACCAGAATCCCCAGACTCGTTCCTGATCTGCTCCATTTTGCTCGGCCAAGATTGAGTCATTGACCGATTTCGGGACAATTTTTCTTCCCCGCACATTCTGTGTGCCACAGCTGCAGAACAAAGCTTAGAACCAGCGATTATCTTGCGCTTACACATTTCCCAGTCATTGTGAATAACAATAGACTTGAACCTCGTCCATACAACGAGCCCTGGACACATCTTTCGCTACCTCATCCGCCATGGACGGTCCCGATCGAATCGGTCCTGATCAGAGTCCCAGGCGGACTATCCGCGATAAAGCTCGACGGATCGTGAAGACATGGACTACCAAGTAGGTCGTTTACGGGCACTTGTATCTTCTGTCCTCTATATATGCTGATCCATGCACGATTATCAATAGAGAAGGATTGGTTGGAGACTACAACTACGCCTACCTCTTCACACCGAGAATTCCCTTTACCAAGAACATCAGAAGGACGTCCCCTTTCTTTGGGCTGCACGACAGGTTACCCGTGCTACTTGCCTTCATTCTGGGTCTTCAACATGCTCTCGCAATGTTGGCTGGAGGTAAGCTTGGAGACATTATTCATCAGACTGCCACTGATTAATGGTTACAAGTCATATCTCCTCCTATCATCTTGGGTGGTTCTAGCGGTGCCAACTTCGGAGATGCCGAGTACCAGTACCTCGTTTCCACCTCCTTGATCGCCTCCGGTCTGCTATCAGCTATTCAGATGGCCCGCTTACGCATCTGGAAGACTCGATACTTCATTGGTACTGGCTTGATATCGGTCGTCGGCACCTCCTTCTCCACCATCACCGTCGCATCGGGAACTTTCTCTCAGATGTATGCATCTGGATACTGTCCCACAGATGCCGATGGCAACAAGCTACCATGCCCCAGAGGTTACGGGGCTATTCTGGGCACAGCTTGCTTGTGCTCTCTACTTACGATCGGCCTGTCCTTCATGAGCCCAAGGATCTTAAAACGCATCTTCCCGCCTATGGTGACTGGTCCTACCGTTCTGTTGATCGGAGCAAGCCTCATCGAAAGTGGTATGAAGGACTGGGCTGGTGGCTCTGGCTGTGGATCGGACCCATCCGCTCGGGCTTTGTGTCCAAGTACTGGTGCGCCCCATGCCCTCCCCTGGGGAAGTGCCGAGTTCATCGGCCTCGGATTCCTGGTTTTTGTGACGATTATCCTTTGCGAGCGGTTTGGCTCTCCTATTATGAAATCCTGCGCCGTCGTGGTCGGTCTTCTGGTCGGGTGTATCGTGGCAGCTGCCTGCGGCTACTTCGATAGATCGGGAATCGACTCTGCGCCCGTTGTCTCATTCATCTGGGTGAAAACCTTCCCATTGACTATATACGCGCCTCTCATCCTTCCGTTCCTCGCACTCTACATCGTTATCATGATGGAATCGATCGGTGATATCACTGCGACATGCGACGTCTCCCAGCTCGAAGTCGAAGGTGCCGAGTTTGATTCGCGCGTCCAGGGTGGTGTTCTGGGCAATGGATTGACCTGCCTGCTGGCTGGACTCTTCACCATCACGCCCATGTCGGTCTTTGCTCAGAACAACGGTGTCATTGCTCTGACAAAATGCGCCAACCGCAAGGCCGGCTACTGCTGCTGCTTCTTCCTCGTCGTCATGGGCGTCTTTGCCAAGTTCGCTGCCGCCATCGTGGCAATCCCCAAGCCTGTTCTGGGCGGCATGACCACTTTTTTGTTCTCGTCCGTCGCCATCTCCGGTATTCGTATCATCTCCACCATCCCATTCACCCGCCGCAACCGGTTTATCTTGACGGCCTCTTTCGCGGTCGGTATGGCCGCTACGCTGGTGCCCGACTGGTTCTCGTACTTCTTCACCTATAGTGGTGATAACCATGCCCTGGAAGGTCTGCTGAACGCCGTGGAGCTCGTTATGGAAAATGGATTTGCAATCACCGCTGTTATCGGGTTGATCCTCAACCTCGTCCTTCCCGAAGATCCGGAAGACGAGGCGGCCATCGTCGAGGCTACGGCAAGCGATGCGCCATCGGAGGAGCTGAAGGATTCAGACCCTTCGTCATTTAAAGCAGGGCAACCATCTGGGTCTATGGCTGTGTGATTAATTATGTTACGCTGCATGGCTGAGGAAGCATTCCATGTGCGTGAGGTTGTTTGATGTTCTTTCTGGATACCCTTCTTTGGTACTATTTTCTGAGGATACATAATTCAATAATGATCTTCAAGCATTACTCTATTACTACGATTCCGCTCCTAGACTCGTAGCATGACAATAATTCACCATATCCAGGTAAATCTTTCAAATGCTGAACTACACCCCTTCCACAACCTCGCCCGGGTTCAGCATCTTGATATAGCGATGCTCGCCTGTTTCCAGCAGTGAAATAGTATCCCCTACGCAAATGACGAACTCTGTCGACAGTTAGCAAATCGATCTTTCATCATCGGGACATCACTAACCCTGTACAGCAGCAACACACTGCATCCCCAAACACGCATTCGTCGGATCACCAGGGTCAATCCGCCTATAGCTCTTCAGCGTCCTATCCGGCTCAGACGCGTGCCGGATACCCGTGGCAGGGTCAACGTTCGGCAGCCGACAGCGCATCGTCCGACAGGCAACATGTAACTCAATCCCAGCGTCAGCGTCACTCTTAACCGCCTTGGGTCTAATCAGGATGCGCTTCCAGTGATCCTCCGCAAATGCCTCGGGGCCCTGGACGATGACGTTGGCCCTGAACCGCCGCACCGAGAGCCGGGGATATCCCGTGCACATCGCGCCGCAACGTCCTGGACACTCGCGATGTTGAGGATATTCAGGGGATACGCGTCCGCGAACACGGTCACAGGTTGGAATCCGAGCTCCTCTTTGCGGGGAGCGTTGCGGAAGACCTGCCGGTGGTGCGTCGGTTCAACGCGGAAGAGGGTGAGAGGGCGAGACACACCCACATCTGGGGGAGCTAGAAACTCCCGCAGGGCGTGCGGAAGATGCTGGCCGTAGTCGTATGCCACCAAGGTATCTTTCCAGATCTTCACTGGCACGGAAGGATAAGCGCCAGCGCGGTCTGGTGGCGGAACGAGCGGGACACTGAATGACAGCTCCCGGGGGAGCAGACGCAGGGCTATCCCCAACTTGACGAGGTACGACAAATGCCCTCGAGCAGCTGGTCGTGAGTAGTACACGACCATCACGCCCTGAGACCTGACCTCATCCAGATCAGGCGCGTAGTCGGGGGCAGCGGGATCAGGGACCCAGATCTCAGGCCGGATGAGCGTCAGCCGGCTGTAATGGCCGTTACGGAGAGTCCGCGTATCCCAGTACGGCTGCGCCTTCCCATCGCTGGCGCTCGCATGGTCAGGCGCGAATTGTTCCGCGAAGCAGAACTGTCGATCGAACGCGAATCCGGTCGATACGACATCGGCGACGTCCAGCTCGACCGCGGCGCAGCTTTTGATGGGATAGGTGAAGAGTGCTTTAACACGACATAAAGGCTGACCTTTGTCATCGACGTCGCTTGAGGTTCCCTGGCCATACTTATGGTCGAATTCGTCGTGCAGATTGCTGCGGCCTGGTGGAAGGCCTAGCCTTCGGCATCCTCTCGGCTGCGCTGGATGAGCGGAGCCATATTGGCGCACAATGAAGATAAGTATGGGTAAAATTGAAAGCAGCGAAATGCCTGTAGTCGACAGTAAAGCCTTCACAGCATCTTGTTGGAAGCTGGTGAAGCTGAATGTATGTTCACTCAGCATTGATGAGATGTGCTTTACAGAGACCTCAGGAGTCACCAGCAAATGTAATCTCAGCAGCAGTTGCAAAGTACTCAGATGTTTCCTAGAGCGAACTTGTTATGTACTTATCTAAGAGTATAAGCTGCTGGACGCGATGAAATAATTGTGGAGGTGAGTCACTCCATTGGGGCGGATTCCGAATCCTTTTAACAATCCGCAATCTAAAATCTCCGCGCTGGAGTTGGCGCATCTGTTGATACATTGGTAATCAACCACCCATTTCGGTGAACAGCAGCCGAATATATGCTCCAACAAAGGTTGGACAAGGTCAAGCTGGCAGACTGGAAAAAATGCAAGATCTGGACTGCAGTAATGTCCTAGTGTCAACTATTCTTTCCTTGAATCTGCCGTTTTGCGTGAGACGATCTGGAGTCAAATCGGAGGAATCACAATCGCCGCCTGATAAGTGCCACCATGAGCACGCAGGATATCCTTGGTGTGTCCAGTCATGACCCTGGTAGGTTATCGACTCTAAGCTTTTCCTGCAATATGTAGCTGATTTCCATCGTAGGTCGCGTCATTTCATTCCCTGCTTCGCAGTATCTGCACGCGTCTACCGCGTCTTCAGTTCGTGGCGTGATTTCAACAGGACTCCCTCGACTTGACCAGGCAATCAGCCCGGTTTCTTCAGATGAGGCGTCACAGTCGTCAAGTGACGCAATTCTGGGAGGAATTCCTTGTGGTCATGTCACCGAGGTGTTCGGGCCACCTGGTGTAGGCAAAACGGCTCTGGCGTGAGTTTCACTGCAGATGAACTGACCATATGGTGTACCAATAAGCCTAATATTGACTGTGTATCTCAGAATGAGCATAACCGCAAACGCTCTGTGTGACGGTGGTAAAGTTGTCTGGATTGGTACGACATCCTTGACCGTTCGAGATGTTCGCTGACCGTTTAGATACTACCTCGCCACTACCAAAGCTCCGTCTAAAGAGCATTCTCATGCAGTGTCTCAAAACAACCAAATCATCTGATACAGCACAACAACTCATGGACAATCTAATCTACTTCCGCGCTCAGTCGCTGCCACATCTGCTAGCGCTTCTGCTCCACCCACCACAAGGATTCCCGCCCGAAAACACCAAGCTTCTGGTGGTCGATTCAGTGTCAGGGCCGTTCCCTTCTTACTTTCTGAGTCCGTCCGAGCTGAAATCCCGCCTGGCGCAGACGAAGATCACGGACAAGTCCCAGATCCATTGGCTCATGAACCGCAAATGGAACGTCACGAGCGAGCTGGCAAATCAGCTGATGAAGCTGGCGGCTTCAAGACGACTGGCCGTGCTTCTCATCAACCAAACCCACACAAAGATCAAAGGTCTGCCACGTGCTACCCTCAGCCCGCTGCTTGCGGGTGGCGCGTGGGAGAATAGCGTGTACACCCGGATTGTCCTGTATCGCGATCTCCCGGCCGTTGACGATGAAGAGTCAGAGATAGCTTCTAGGAGCGTCCGCTATGCGGAGGTATTGAAGAGGGATGGCAAAGCATTGACAGTGAGATCAGATGAGAACATTGTACCGTTCACTATCGACTCGGTAATCATCGCCCTATAGCCAAATGGAATTGCGTCAACATGCGACTGACATGAGGGAAACAGGACTCTCTGCGTGGGACGGACACGACTCAGCCGTCCCGCGCTGTTCCACAGCAGCCAGTTGAGGAGACTCTCCGTGCGGGTGGGCGGAAGCGGAAAGTGGACGAGATTGCGGACAGTCAGGATGAGGGCGATTCCGACGATGACTTCGGATGGGTTGATGGCGACGACGCTGGCTTGGTTGAAGGGCCTGCTGACGACTCATGAACTCACAGGACTCTCCCGCAGGTCCAGGCAGGAACTCGCTGCTTGGTCCGCTTCTGGTCATTTTCAATAAATCGTGGCCGAGCTATTTGAAGACATACAAGCGATCATTGGAAGAACATACAACCGCCTCGGCATTATAAGCTATAATATGCTACAATATCTCAAAATAAGTCATTAACGTATCGACATGACACCTCAATCATTACCGAGGGTATTAGGAACAATGGCTCAAGTCATCCTTCGGTCACCATCTCCATGGGACCGCTGCTCAACCCATGTTGAGAACTCAGTCATGGCCAGGATCTTGCCATCTGGGATTTGCGCATTGAAACTCCCAGTGGTTGCCCTCTTGATCTTCTCCGCCTCGGCGTTGTTCATCGCCGAAATCTCACAGATGTTGACATCCCCGTTCATACCTGGCTGAGCAGCGCCGTTGTTCGGGCCGGTATTGAATTCCAGCGAACAAAGGTGGACGGCATCCCTGCCTATCATGGGACGTCTATGTCCGTGTATCACATCAACGAGCCTGCCAAGGACGGCGAACTCCAACTTCAGCTTGAGGCTATATATCGCGCCTTTCAGTGTAATCTGGACCGCGTAGTAGCTGGCGTACTCGAGGCCCAGCAGGGCCAAATCCATCAGTACGATCAATATATTGATACCCACGAGCTGGTGCATGATCCTCTGCTTATCCTTGTCCGATCCCAGCCGGAGCAGCTTGACCGTCTCCCATACATAGAGGCCCGAGATGATCACCTCTTGTATTGTGAAGCCGGTCATCTGGAGCTTCTCCATGATATTGTACCCTCGCACGAATACAGGCGATCGATCGACAACGTTGGATCCGTACGTCAGGACCGTGGTAGGGATATGCAAAAAGAAGATGTTTGCGATGATCATTATCAGCACCCGCCGCAGGATACGCTCATCGCGAAGAACAAGGTGCAGGCGCGAGTAGAGCACAAATGCCTGCCCGGTCACCATTGTCCACCAGCCGACGCTGAGCATCGTGACCGATAAGGTGGAATTGGCGGAGGTGAAGAATTTGAGCAGGAATCCCAGCGAATACGGGATCACTCCGAAGCATCCGGAGAGAAGCAAGCTCCAGAAATACAGGCCTCTCCAACGCCGGAACGTCGATAGCACGAGCACGACGAGCTCCACGACGTTGTAAAAGGAGATGGCGCTGAAGATGAAGAGAGTCGCCTTGAGCCCGTCCCTGTGGTTCGCAAGCTCACCCGAGATACCGTCTAATGGATCTTGAATGGTCGACATCTCACGCTTTATGTTGCTTTGACATGGACTGTCTTGCTGAGGGTGGAGTTAGGATATGAGTATAGGCAGGTCGCGCGGTACGAGAATGTGAACTCACAGAGAATCAAGCACGAAACTCAACGATTCGAGATTGTCCCAGCAGAACTGTTTCTCCTGCTTCTACGGACAGTCTCTCGTACCTCTTCAGTAATCTTTCCTCGCTAGAAATCACCGACACATCAAATCCAAGCGTAGAAGCCTGGTGCTATCGAAACAAACCCAGCGACGGAACACTCATGACAGAATTGACCTCAAGTTGCGAACAGACAACATGTAATGTACCTTACTGAGACGAAGAAACAGACGGAAGATTGAACAGCCACCCGGGGCATACCACGCACAGCGCTCCTCAAGAGCTGGGGTAGTACAAGTCGTTCACTCTCCCGTCGGAGATAATTCCTCCCCTTATTGCTGTGTACCCTCGATTTCCTGCTTTCAACTTTTTCCCCCAGAGCAAACAATGATCGAATGCAACTGCATGCGTGTGATTGATGCGGGAAAGGCTCCTGGACCTTCCCTGCCTTCCGGCATTGCTTCGTGACTATTGCGTCTAGGCCTAGATAGTCGAGGGGGCCAAAAGTTTACTTACGGAGTAGACTAGAACCAATCCTTCTGCAGGTAGCGTTGCGATGGGATCTTTCATTCAAAGATCGGGAAGCTGAAGGATTAAATGTTCCGAACCTTGATTATGTTGTGATTTGGTGGTCATTGTAGAGGAAGGGAACTTGTCTCAGCTACGATAGGGTACCATTGATGGGGAAGTACCCGGGTGAGGCATTTTGTGATTTGGGCCGCGTTGGAGCACAGGACATGCATTGGCCCGTTTGTCGCCGCGTCGAGTCCCCTAAGAGGTTACATGAGTTGTGAGATGAGCTGTTAGTGCTGGCATGATCCTTCTCTGAATTTGCCTTATGCTTGTAGAACGGGCCTTCAAGTGGATCATGCATTGAGAGAACCCTTTGGCAGTTAGTGTGTTCAAATGACGGTTCAAGAGGTACAGGTCACTGATTGGTAGCCGATCCTACACCTGAGATGACGCATGCTTGCGATACTATTCCGAGAATTAAACTGTACATTGTACAGGAATGCCCTCATTTGCGAAAGCTGCACTTCATTCTCCTGGTTTATCTATGGGACTGCGCAAGTCATAACGTACCTCAGTCATGCCTTGATGATTCCCCTGCACAGCTCAATTGAGAGCCATATCAGTGGGTGCAAGCGTCCTTGGGGTATCCACTGAACTCTAAGGGGCAATGCTCATATGAATTTGGTCATTAGGTCGAAGGGACCTTGTAGAATTCAAGAATCGTCTATTATGCTACAAGGCTTGGCAGAGTTGAGAAACCGTACCAAAACAAAATCCATCATAGATTGGTGAGATAATCTTCAATCTCCTCTTTGGTCAACTTCCTGAACCGGGGGCCTCTGGCTCCTTCAACGCCTTCATAACCCAGAAGATGATCCGCGGGAGGGCCAACAATACCTGCGTAAGTCAGCTCTGTGTTTCGTACGGCGACTTTTGATCTAGATAAGTAGGACCCACCGATTTCTATTGTGTCTCCGTTCATCTCACCCTCGATAGTCTCTTTCAGAGTAAGGAGGGCGATATGGATGGCATCTTCAAGCTCCAGCCCCTCTGTGTACCGCTTCTCCAGGAACGTCTTGGCGCTGGTTGCATGCTTTCCAATGGCCGTGGCTTTCCAGGGATAGTAACTGCCGCTGGGGTCGACTTGGTACAAGCTGGGACCGCCCTTCAGGATACCACCAGTCTTACCAGTAGCTACTGTAGCCTTCTTGAGATCGTCCTCCTCATCACCGCGTTGAGCTTCACCTGTTTCGGGCTCGATACCCTCATCCCAGCCAGCGATCAGCAAGCTGACACCATATGGTCGGACACCACCAGATTGTGTTGCTTCCTGCACGACACGTGCAACATCTTGCACCAGTATCCGAGTTGGAGGGTACTCGTTATAGATGCGTTTGTAGCCAGTGTGAGAGACTTTGCGAGCCTTGTCGACTAGTACACGGTAGTCCGGACCCATTCCAGCATAGACCATACCGATATCCGGCGTGATGAGGGAAATCTTGGAGAGGGAGGGAGGGTCAATGAGTGGGGAGGACGACTTCTTTTCGGTAGCAAGAACAATCCCATTTGTTGCTAAGAAAAATAACGATGGTTAGAAGCTATTTTGGGTAGCTAGCGCAATCAGTCCATTTAAATGAAGCTTACCTTTGATTCCGAGGGCAGTTACGCCTTGGTTGACGGCGTTCAAGGCATATTCTACATTCGATCAGCATTGAGAATTCCATAAACTAAGACCAAGCGCAGTACCAATTTGTACCAGCTTCCCACTGTAAGCTATTGTTAGCATCCGATTATCTAAGGTGTCACCTGCAACAAGCTCCTCTTACCTGGGGGAGAAGGTAGTCAAAGAGAACGAGTAGCGATCAGCCATGGAGACGTCTTTTCAATTCTAAAAGCTCTGAAGAAGGTGGTAGAGCTCTAAAAAAAGATGAAGAAGGTAATATGAAGATAAAATGAAATTGTTGAAGGTCAAGTGAAGCTGTCCTTCTCCGAGCAACAGGCGACAAGGTGTTGACGCAGCACAGCTTAGGTCCATCCGCCCAGTGCCAAGCCGTGTCTGGGGCGGTGACGATACAAATGCCAGAACTGGCTTACGTGAGCACTAGTGCTGTCGTTGCCTGAGGCTCTTCCTTTCTCGAAGCTCCACATCGCTTCTTTTAAGCTGGTTGAGGGCTTTTTTCTTCCCATTTCTCTTCCTTTCTCTCTCTCCCACACAAATAATACAGCACGACACCCTTGTATTTATACAATCTGAGATCTCGTCGGATGCTCTTGCACCAGATCCCTGGTAGATTTAGTTAATATGCTGTGACTTTAGCTTCTGAGCATTCCACAGCAGCATGAATGTGCATAATGAGCCACTCTGGCAGTGGCCTTCCAGCGTCCCTTCTAATACTTCATTGAACTCGGAGTCAAGCCAGACACCTCAAAACACTTACCAGTCCAGTGACGAAAACACGACTCCTGAATGTCCCGAGTCTCCCAAGAAACACTATCCCAATCATACTTGTCGCATCTGCTTGGAATCAGTCCCTCCTACCTTCCACCCCCCTTCGGAAAACCTGCCAGGTTTCCTCCAGCCCAAGCCGCGAGTTGTCTATGAGTCTTCTGACCCAGAGCTTGGCCGACTTCTTCGACCCTGCAAATGCAAAGGTTCTTCGCGTTACGTTCACGAGGGATGTCTTCAGTCCTGGCGCCATGCAGATCCTCATTATGGAAAGAGGCACTATTGGCAGTGCCCAACCTGCGGGTTTCAGTACAGGCTAGAACGTCTGAAATGGGCGCACTGGATCAGTAGTGCATCTACCCAGATCGTATTGACTTTGAGCATTTTGTTGTTTACAGTATTTTTGCTTGGTTTTATTGCTGACCCCATCATCAATCTTTATGTGGACCCGGTGGAAACGATAGTTTACAAGGAATTCTGGGAGCCTAGTACTGTGTCGGGCGTCTTGCCGACTGAAACAAGACCATCTTGGGTAGAGCATTTCGTGAAAGGATTGGCCTCATTAGGTCTTCTGTCATTCATCAAGGCCATACTTGCATTGAGCCCATGGCAGTGGTGGAATCTGCGCAGTTCAGGCGTCGTCAGCAGTGGGAGGACCACCGGCAGGAGTCGAGCGGCTTCTATCAGTTGGATAGTCATCCTCATCGGTGTTGGTAGCTTCCTCTGGGTAGGTCAACGCGGCGAAAGCATCTCCCTTCGTCAATCACTAATCGCACTATACAGGCTGTCTGGAAAGGTGTCAGGACCTGGAGTCGCAAGACACTGGAGAAAGCCGGCGAACGCGTCATGGATGTTCCATTGCCTGACGATGATGACGAAGACGAGCCATTTACTTCCGCTGAAGGGTCGTCGAAGAAGGATGACTGAATGCGCTTGACCCTAGCATCTGTCCGAGAAATCGAACGCCTTCTGTAATGCTCCACGCACTACTTTGAGTTGTCACGCTCCTGTCAATGAGGTGCCAATCAGTCAATGTGCGGAGAACGATACTGATCCTCGTTAACTTCTGGGTCTCGTCTGTGAAGCAGAGCATCTGGAACAGGGCGTTTTGTTCTCTCCTTCTTTGCTCTGTTTCGTAAAGCAAACGTCCCCAGAGGGAGGATCGAGCTGCATTCTGACTCGATCGGTTTGGGCCGCTCCAGTGCAGTGAGCGTTTCTAGATTGAGGTGCGGTACATCGTACTGTCATATAGTGTAGTTGTCAATATATTCTCTTTTCATGACATCAATCCAGTCCTTGAGTACGTAATATTTGCTGATATCAATTCGCATCCCTAGCAGTCCACGGAGGCTTCTCGTCGCTGCCATGATTGTCAGTAGCCTCGACTGCCATCCATTACACTCAAGTCTCGAATCCCTCAGTGCTGCAACTGCTGCCCAGGACGCATAATCTGAATGCCACTTGAAACAGTCTTGCTATTTGCCAATGTTCTTGCGCCGTCTATGCATGCTGCACGGTTCACGAGATACTGACTCGCCCATTGATGCGACTTCTCGCATGAACTGTCTGCTAGTATGATGGGCATCCAATACAGGATCAGAGATATAAGACTAATGGATGCTTGATTACAGCGAATTCAGTGGGAAACAAGGCAATGGAAATATGGGGAAACTATGCCCTTGTGTGGCATTGCTTTCCCTCAATCTCTATATGCCCCAGCTGCCGAAACAACAGCCTATGATCACTTACTTCGTATCCGGATGGTCAAGGTTCCTCTACGGCCATCTGAGGAAGACGGCAGTATCTTGCCTGAAGAGCAGGCTTGGTTGAGCCGACTCTCTGTGAAACTGCACGACCTGTATCCATGAGTGTTTAAAAGACTCAATTGCACTGAGCTACTGCTCGAAGTCTTGAAACACGAGATACTTTTCTGGATTTAACAAGATGTGAAACAAGATCAATTCGTCGTATGTCGCTAATATGTGCTTTCCAGGAATTCCTTCTCTGAAACTCTTTGGTGGAAACATACAGTGAAACTCCTCTATACATCGGTAACTCCCGTCACTGAGATGGAGGGCTCCTGTTCCTAGACCACTTTGCAGTGAATAGTCTGAGGTGACCTCTAGTATCAACAAACTCGCGAGTATTCACTGCAGTATAATCTCGCTTATCCAAAAGCACCACTTCCCAGCTTTCTCTTTCAGAAATGTTCCTCTCAGTGTCCCTTTACACCTCTCCCATTAAGATTATCACTCAATTTCTTTGACTATCTACATCTACGCACTCTACACACTCTCTATCCCATACCTGCGGACTGATACTGTGATCATCATGGAGGACCAACGCCGAGACAATCACATCGCACGCCGAGATGAACACGTCCCTCAGAGTCAGGGACGTGAGAACAACACTCCTCCCCTCCCTTCTGAGAATCCTCAATCTCATGAACTAGACAGCTACACTGAAGCCTGTCGTGACCTTGAGCAGAAGCTAAAAGCCCAGATCGACCTCATCAAGAGACACCTCGGTGCTGTGGGCACGTCTCAGAGCTCAGACGCGTCTTCCGAGACTGTCCAAGCTGGTCCTTCTGACGCCATGCAGGGCCAGCCGATTGCCTCTGAGTCTTCTGCCCCTATTACACCTACTAAAACCCTCTCAGCTTCCGCCTTGACCAACAGCCACACTCACATTCACACTCCAAACATTGGCAACAGTGAGGGTCCAGTTGTGAATCAAGGTCTCATTAGTCCCGCTGTCTCGACTTCCCGTGCTGCAACGACCTGTGAGGCCTTTCCTGACTACTACGAGTCGTGCGAGAAAAATCCTCCCATCGTTGACAAAGCGCACGAAGCGGCTTACAACTACGCTATCTCCAAGGTTGTCGAGGAAGCAACTCGTTTCAAGAAGATTGACGCCAGCGTCACCAATCCTCCTGTGCTCAACGCAGCTACTGACCCTGTTGTGAAGGGCAGATCTGCCACCCCAAGCGCAAAGAAAGCTCTCGGGGCCTCTCAGACTTCCAAGAACTCCTCCACCGTACCCATGCCCCAATCTGCCCTCCCCTCACTGAGGCCGAGATCGCGGAAAGAAAGACGAAGCTGCTTGCAGAGATGAAGGCGTTCATTCCTAGCGGCAACATCCCAGCCGATCTCATGCGTCGTTTCGTTGCGATGACCAGCGCGATCCTCCACATGGAGATGATTCTCTTTCCTCGTGAGAACACTGCTTCCCGGCCCAAAAACTTGCTGTCCGCCCAGGAAACAGAGAAGATCCGTGCCATAACAAGCGATATGATCCAGTATCTCACTCATCTGAACAACACCGTGAAGAAGCAGGTAGACAAAGCCAATGAAGTGGCGTTCGTCATGGCCCAGATCGCGGGATGTCCTCAAGCCTCGGTGTACGAGCGCTATACGCGCATGGCTGAGGTGTTTAACAAGTAAGTTACCTCCAATCTACGACATCATTTTTCGTCTGGGATCCAACTGACCTCGCATTTCAATCATAGAAACGCCAAGAAGCCCAGCGACGAGGAGCTACGCCTACTTACCGTCTTCCTCGACCTCTATGACACCGTCATCTACACCCGCTTCCTCACGAGGCGCTTCAACGGCAAGCTTATCCTTGAGGAAATCCTCAACAAGCAACGCGCGGAACTGTCACAGCGTCTGGGTTCCCTCTGGGACATCCATAACCACGTCATCGAGAACTACCAGAAGATCATCAACTGTATGGTGCACATGAAGCGCAACATTGTTGCTCCAATATACGAAGAGATGACTCAGTCCAAAGAGCTCTGGATCGACCGTTGGAACGCAAACCAGCGTACACTGGAGCGAGAGCTGGCGCAGCAGGAGAAGGACCGGCAGGAGCTCGCGGCCAGGGAGCGTCGCCAGACTTAGGTGCTGATGCATGCCACCAGGAGGAGGAACTGTGGGAGGAAATACACGGAGAAGTGGACATATGATAAGGAAAGGGGGAAGAATGATTAACGAATTAACGGCCGGACGATGGAATGTATCATGAGCTCATGATTCTCATTTGGCGGAATCTAGGTACATCATAAAGACACAAAAACAGAGATAGGCAAGCAGCTTATCCAATTCAAGCAGAGCTATCATGATACGAACCCAACTTAAACAACCTCTTCGCATTCTCCCTCCCAATCTTCAACCGATCCGTCAGGTTCAAGGGAAGCTCGTCAAACCACTCACATGCATCAGAGAAAGTCTCGAAGGGGTAATCAATGGAGAACAGAATCCGATCCGCCCCAACCTCCGCCATGCAGAAATTCAACGTCGTGGTCGAGAAATGTCCCGACGTCGTGATCCACAGGTTCTGCGCAAAGTAGTCCCGGATCGTCTTCTTGCACGTCTCCGCCAGACCCAGCTGCTTCTTCCGATCCTCGAACCAGTGGTTGATCCGCCACATGTCGAAGGGGATGTGCTCGCCCAGATGGCCCAGGATGATCTGTAGCTTGGGGTGCCGGTCGAACACGCCGTTGGTCACCATCCCCAGGACGTGCAGGCTGACGCCGTGCGCGAAGCTCAACGGCGGGCCCACGAGCCACTTGCGGTCGGCCCAGAGCTTGTCGTAGATTGTTCCCGTGGGGTTGCGTGGGTGTAGATAGAGTGGAACGTCGAGGTCGGTGCAGGTCTGCCAGAAGATGTCCCATTCAGGCTGATCGTAGAAGATCATGTCGTCGCCGTCGGGCCCCGCTCGCTGCGTATCGTTTACCAGGGCGCCGAGGAAGCCGTGCTTTTCTACGCAGCGGCGAAGCTCGTCGGCTGCTTCTTTGGGGTCGTGCATAGATAGAGTCCTAGAAAATCATATCAGACTTGAGTATAGGAAGGACTATAGAAGCGGGAGTGGACGTACGCAAAAGCTCCAAATCGATCTGGGTTCGATTTGATCTGCTCCGCGATATAGTCGTTGATCTCAACTGCTAACGCCTGTGCCTCCTTTGCATCCCAGATATCCTGCACACCAGGCGCTGTGTAGGAGAGGATCTGGTAGCCGACGCCATGCTTGTCGGCGTGTTCGATACGGATCTTGGTGATGTCTGTGATTTCCTTGACGTGGGTTTCGGGGTCGGTAGAGAACAGACTAGCCCACCAGCGAGTCTTTTCTTCGAAGCGGGGAAGCGCAAAGGCTTCCTCGAGGGCGATCTTTCCGAGCATCTTTGTATGAAATGTTGCTTCACCTGCAGGCGCTGTCCGGATTTGATGAACAGAATACGGTGATTATGTATAGTGAATGATCAGGCCTTCATTCGACCGCTTATCTGGATGAACTGTTGAAAGCACTGGTTGTTGAACACTTCCGCGCTTTATACTTGCTACTGCTACGAGGTAGTTAGTATACATCATCATACCTATGTATGGGGTGCGGACCGAAGCCGCACCCGCACCGCAAAGCCGACGACAAGCGTTTCCACTTCTCCAGAAACAGTCGCAATTCGGATGATCAATAATCCATAGTAATTTGTCTAGGCTGTTGGAGAAAACTAAAAATTAGATCGTGTCCTTTTCCGGTGGCTGACGATACAAGTAACATGGGGGCTGAGGGGACCTCGTCAGCCTGGCATTCCACCACATATAGCACGTGGCTCAAGATCATATTTGGAATAGAATCTCCCTTCTGGGCTTTGGCCTCTACAGGTATCTATAGGTATAACTAATGCGTTATTGTAAGTCACTATGGTGAGAGACTACTCGATATTTATGAAGGCTGGCTAAGCCAGTGTTGTTCGAAATGCGGGGTTCTGTCGATTCATAGACAATGCAACGACCAACTCCATTGAAATAATGCCTATCAATCCACCAGAACGGGACCGATCACAGTTCTTCGGAAAAGGATTCAGTACCTTCTAGTTTTATGATCTCTAGCAGGAAAGAACGGTAAGTTACACCTGATATCATCCGACGTGCCCGGCAGCGATCCGACGGGGCTCTCAACCCCGCAAAATGATACATTGGACAAGGCTAGACTAGGAAGCCACTGATATAAGCGAAAGCATTATAGCACCATTTTTTTTATCGATCATTAGTACCAATGGAGAGTGGTAACTTAGCAGGAGACTATTGCCATGATGATTAGGATACGAGGCTTCGTATCATGCAACTGTCAAGCTGGTCAATTCTGCTGAGAGGACGCGGTGCATGTTGACACGAATACTTCAAATACGAAAGATACGTATTATTGGATTCCTTGAGACGAGTAATGGCACATGAGAGAGTAAGCGTCGCTCAATTGGAAATATGCCTCAGCATTAGTGACTGTATTGTGCGGTGGAGCGACTGGTCATGGGAAGTATTGCCGTGACATATATTGCGAGGACATGAACGTAGAGACTCATTGAAGAATTGCGGGAATCTCTACAGACAAATTGAATTAATTACCGGCTCAATGTTCCAGAGGATAGAGCATGCCTGCAGCAACCAGGTTCGGGGGAGAGGAAATGACAGAGAAACAGAATGCGTGACAGCCTTGTCACTTGTCGCTTGTCATGAGGCCCTCATGCATCACTTCCCGTCTCTGTCAGCTTCTACTCAGCACAACCAGGCGCTATTCTCTGGGGCGTCCCATTACTCTGGTTTCTGTATTTTTATCCTCCGAATGTGATCTAGCGCCTCCATTTATGACCTGAGCAATCATTTCCTTTCAAGAATGGATGAATCCACTTTGAAGGGATCAGCATTAGCGAGCACCGGAAAAGGGTTGACAGCCCCAGAGATCCGCAGTTTCAGACAGCAGTCAACCCCGGACAATAGACCAACAGAACGATTCGACGTGGCTGTGCGGCAACTGGGCGGAATACGAGACTCATTACTTTCATTGTCTGCACCGTTGGCATTTTCCTCGATATTATTGCTCAGCCGCCACCAACGACCATTGTTTGCTGACATTTTTGGTAGGAATGGGCAGGAAGAGAGATATGAGTAGAAAAAGCAATGGACGATCACAAACAATATCGGTGGATCTCTGTCGTCACTAGAAGCCTCTAGTCTTCGTGCCTGGGGCTCTGCTTGAGCGCATCTTGTTCATGGATGTACCTCTCGGCCTCTCCTGCGTTACCAGCACCTTGCTTCTTTGTCCTCGAGGGCTCACAAAGAAATAATTCGCCTTCTGCCCTCTTTGTTGCTACCATTTATGCTAGTATTCAGTGCCGATGGTCCGATTCAGCCCTATCCGTTTCAAATCTTTATTAGAAAATTTCTCTTTGATGGTATCCAACTTTACCGCAAATCTACTCTGCACGGCAAATCGTGAGATTTCAAATCCATCAACTTGCATTGATCTCCTCCTGGCAGTACTTATTAGTGTGCACTGATGCAAATATACAATTCAGTGAACTGCGTTGATTCTCTCCGACCTATTTAACAACAGCGCGCTGCCACTTGCAGGGATCAGAAGACATACGTCTGATTCGCTTCATCATTCATTAGAAGATGGCAGGACCAGGAGATACCGACATTTTCGGGGAGGGTACGCTAGAACAACGAGTTGAAGATATTGAACATGCGCCAGAGAGGACCAACTCCCTCGTGCCTCAGCGCAGATATCTAACGGCCGCAGAGCGAGCACGACGCAATTTGAATGCAAAACTCGCCAATCCATTGGCAGGTTATAGTCACGAGGAGCTGCGCAGTCAAGGGATCAAATTCGCCATAGAACATCATATGGGTGACGAAACCGACATTCGCGCTTTTGAGTTAGGCGCGCTTCTGGCCCAGGAGCCGGAAAAGTTCGATTCCTTTAGAAACTTGCTTACGGACGAGGAATTCGAGGTGTTACATCTCGAGTTCACTCATCGTTGGTCGCAACCCTGGACAATGTATTTGGTTATTGCCTTGTGCTCTCTCTCAGCAGCGGTGCAAGGAATGGGTAAGTGTCAGAATCAAGCACACTTGTGTATTTAGTGCTTAAGCTAAGTCTGCTTTCGACAGATGAAACAGTTGTCAATGGCGCTCAGATCTTCTACAAGACGCAATTCGGCATTGACGATGAAACCTCGAGGTCTCGCTGGCTGCTCGGGTTGGTGAACGCCGCACCATATCTGTGCTGCGCCATCCTTGGTTGCTGGCTGGCAGTCCCTTTTAACGCATGGTTTGGTCGCCGCGGGACCATCTTCATTACATGCTGTTTCTCCGCCATCGCTTGCCTGTGGCAAGGGTTCGTCAACACTTGGTGGCATATGTTCATCTCCCGGTTCTTCCTGGGCTTCGGCATTGGCCCCAAGTCCGCAACTGTTCCCATCTACGCGGCCGAAACTGCTCCTCCTGCCATTCGTGGTGCGTTGGTGATGCAGTGGCAGATGTGGACTGCCTTTGGCATCATGTTGGGCTATGCAGCGGACCTGGCTTTCTTTGAGGTCCCAGACCCGCCAAACATTGTCGGGCTCAATTGGCGCATCATGATGGCCTCTGCCATGTTTCCAGCTATCTTGGTTTGCTTGTTTGTATTTTCCTGTCCGGAGTCACCACGTTGGTACATGTCCCAGAATCGCTATTACAAGGCGTATGAATCCATGTGCAGCCTGCGCGCGCACAAGATCCAGGCCGCTCGAGACCTTTATTACATGCACACCTTGCTGGAAGCGGAGAAAGGGATGAAACTCGGCCAGAACAAGATGATAGAACTCATCGCCGTGCCTCGAAACCGGCGCGCCCTAATCGCATCCGAGATCGTCATGTTTCTGCAACAGGTAATTAACCCTCCAGTCATAGCAAATTTTCCGCCTGTCTCACTCAAATATCTAGCTATGTGGCGTGAACGTTATCGCGTATTATTCGTCCGAAATCTTCATCAAGGTGACATCAGCCCGAAACGCCCTAGCCACATCCTTCGGCTGGGGCGTGGTGAACTGGCTCTTCGCCATCCCCGCGGTCTACACAATCGACACATTCGGCCGTCGCAATCTCCTCCTCACTACATTCCCTCTCATGGCCCTCGCCTGGTTCTTCACCGGCTTCAGCTTCTACATCCCTACCTCGGAACACAGCAACGCGCAGCTTGCCTGCGTCGCCCTAGGCCTCTATCTCTTCGGCGTGGTCTACTCCGTCGGCGAGGGTCCAGTGCCGTTTACCTACTCAGCAGAAGCCTACCCACTGTACGTCCGTTCGTACGGCATGGCCCTAGCGACGGCAACAACCTGGCTCTTCAACTTCCTCCTGGCCATCACGTGGCCCTCACTGCACGATTCGTTCAAAGACCAGGGCGCGTTCTGCTGGTATGCGGCGTGGAACATGATCGGATTCGTGCTGGTGCTTCTGTTCATGCCGGAGACAAAGGGCAAGACGCTGGAGGAGCTGGACCAGGTGTTTTCGGTGCCGACGCGGTTTCACGCGGCGTATGGGCTGCGCCAGATCCCGTACTTCTTTAAGAGGTATATCTTGCGTCAGCAGGTGAAGCCGGAGATATTGTACGAGAGGGAAGATCCGGTGGGTCATTCGAGTGATTTTGTTTTCAACACTGCGGATTGGAGCAGGACAAGATACGTGCGGGGACATTGAAAAGGTCAGTTTGCGGCTAAGCGGATTTAGCTGTGCGCTGTTGGCGTAAATATATGTACATACTAGTTTTGTATTGCGCTACGACTCTTAACATGTAAATGATGACACGGTGCTCAATGATAATGACATTGCAATTTGGATTCATATATAGTTAGTCTATTGAAGGGTCTAAAGTGCCTTAACATCATGAAATAAGTGGTACAGCATTGCAGCGGCCTGCGCGGAAATGTTCATCTAGACTATAATGAGTCAGTCTTCTTTTCCCAAGTAATCCATCAACATTAAAGCCGGGACGACGTGCTATTCAGGGGAGCAAGGAAAGGAAGGGTCACTTTCTCAGACAGCAGTTGGAACGATTGTTGATCCGCATAGAAATACTCAGAACAGGTCTGTGTGAAATCTTTCTTCATCATTGGAAGTGACCCCGAAGACGGAAGGAGGCAAAAGGCAAGGAAAAGAGGAACGTGATATGAGAGAATACTATCTTACCTGCTGAGAGCACGAAGCTGCGTCCAAGAGACCTGGATATTAATCATGCTGTGCTGGTTAGCCGATAAAACTGATTTGTTGTCGCCTGCCTAGATGGTTGAAGAGTATTGCGAACGGTCCCTCCCGTGCGCTCAACCTGCTGAGCCGTGGTGTCAAGATGAGCTGTATCATCAACGGCCATGACGGTCATGGACCATCCAGACAGCGGGGCCTCGAATGACTCGGGCCGCTGCAAAGAACCAAGCAAGAACGGAGGTGGACGCGCCGCATCACGGACGTACGGTGGTACGACCGATGCGGACCGGATGTCCAGTTCCATCACACCGGTGTTCGACCATACAGGACGCACGTAGTCCCCGAAGTCAGCTTGTCCGACACCAGGTCCAAGGTGGATAACTCTTTGATTGAATAAATCCGCGAGACAAACCCAGAGAACCTGGAGGATGACGCCGTGAGCAACAACAGCAATGACCTCCTCGTTTGCGACATCTGCATTGACCAGGAAAGGCATTATGTGATCCTGTAAAAATGCGTTCATACGACTCCGCATGGAGACCACAGACTCCTCGTCGGTGTACGTCGGCTCGCCTCCACGCAAAGCATCCGGGGAACTGATGCTGGAAGCAGGAGCACCGGACTGCCACCGTGTACCTTCAAGGGAGCCGTACTGTTGCTCGCGAAGAGTCGGGACTTGTATCGGGGCCAACAACGCGCCACTTGCCAGCTGTTGTTGGCAGATACCCTGCGCCGTTTCCGAAGCCCGGTCCAGATCTGACGAGAAAACATGAGTGAAGCGGATCATGCGATCCCTGAGGCTTCGAGCGAGTAGATGCACTTGCGTCCTACCGTTCTCGGTCAGGTAGTGGCCATTTTCATCGCCTCTGCAGAGTCCGACGATGTGCCAGGACTGTCAGCTGCCATTCTACTGAGGTCAACAGAAGACGCGTACGCTGCCTGTCCCACGTTATGTCCACACTCTGCGTGACGGATCAAATAGAGCTTCATCCTGGTGTGAATCGGCTCAGATGATAACCAGCCTGATGGTATGACGAGTCCATCTTTTTAGCAGCAGAAGTGGCTTGTTTTAAGGAAGTACAGCAGAAGGCGACGTGGAACATGATGAAATTGTGATTGTTGAACTGCTGCCGGAAGAAATACGCTTGGTTCGCTAATGAGCCAATTAGAAACTGGTTAATGTTTGCCCTGTTTGAGGTCTTTGCTCTGTTTGACATATTTCGCCTCCATAGGTACTAAAAAAGTTTTGGTGCCATTAGGCAGACTTGAGGTGGAATCGTTGATGAGTATTCGTGCCAGCACAGGAGGTCTTTGGATGACTTAATTTTCTCTCTCTTTTCTTGAATTGCATAGCAATCTAGCAGCGAACATAATTCCATTCGCTGGTCCACACGGACGGATACTAATAAAGAAATTTATTCCTCAAGGTGAGAAAATCTAATCTTATCAAGATCAACCACTGCAAACACAGCTGCTAAATCTTCTCAATTCTTGCAGAGACAAACCACCTTCTAATTCATAATTTCAAAGAAAAATTCACAATGGCCGACGTTCCTGAGAGTCCCGTACCGCAGCAACAAAGTGTGTAGGAAGATACCTTTGGGCTGCTCATTTGGGGCTGTATCCAAAAAGATTCGCTTCGTGCCATTGTTTCAGAATGACTAATGAGTCCATATAGCTCCCGGAAGATCGCCTTTTCAAAATGGTGTTAGAACGTCAGGTCGCGCTTTCAGTTCGCCAAATTGGCGCATGAAGGGCGAGGAAAGTCCGAGTGCTCAGAGCTCTGGCTCGCCCGGGCGAAAGACAAATTCCTCGAGGCTCACATTCAGCAGACCAAGCTCTCAGGTGCCTCAGGCTATTTCTGAAGGCCGCCGTCTATACGTTGGCAACATGCCGTATACGGCCAAGTCGGAGGATGTGCAAGCATTGTTCACCGCCGCAAACTTCCCAATGTACGGAGATAGAATTTCTTGTATGGAGATGGCCAAAACTGAGTGCTTTGCAGCGAGCGGATCGATATCGCGATAGACCCCTTCACCGGCCGCAATCCCTCATACTGTTTTGTCGATTTGGAGACCAAGGAATTGGCGGATAAAGCAATGACCGAATTGGACGGCCGTGATATGCTTGGCCGGCCTGTCAAGATCAAACCTGGAGTTGCCAAAACGGCAAGCGAGCGTTCGCAGCAACAGCAACAGCAACAGCAACGAACTGAAAGCTCGCCTCGCAGCGATAAGGGCAGCCCGTTTGCCCTTGACCGCTGGAGACGCAACGACGCGGCCGCCTTCGCTAAGGTCAACAGCGACTCTAGCCGTCGCCTTTATGTCGGCGGTCTTCCTAAGTTAACCGACCCTGAGATTATCACCACAAATATTACCAACTTCTTCAAGGGATACAAGGTGTATGTCCGCAATTCCCCTCTATGGAACTGACTTTTCGAGACTAATTTGTCCCAAAAAAGTGGAAATGTCAGCAAATTGTTCCCACCTCACCCTGCGAAGCGATTCGAGCCTGGTGACCACTACTATCTGTTCGTCGAATTTAGCAGCACGGAAGAGGCTCAGAATGCCATGGATACCCTGAATGGCCAGGAAGGTCCCTGGGGGGCGAATCTTCGCGTGCAGAGAGCCCGTGGAGAGACTAGTAACTCTGACGAAAGGAGAAACAAGTGGTCATCTGCACGCGTTGATTCAAATGGTGCTCCGGCTACCAACGATATTGCTGTCGGTGTATAATCGACTCACTCAGATATTGTTGGTCGAGATAGATCGTCACACATGTGAATCCGCTCATATGGGAAGTTCATGGACGAAAGCTGCCTTGACATGCACTGCCAGACGATCAACTGTCATCGCTTTTGCCGACAAAGCAACCCAAGTTTCGAGTCATGCTGGAGATGGGGATAATAAAGAATTTCCGTTATTACGTCTACCCATACTCATCTCGCATGCTTGAACGCCCCGCATTGCGGTGGACGGAGGAAACATGCTTCCTTGGATGATCCACAGCATCAAGAAGGAATCTCCACCCAGGAGGACAGACCACCTGCGGAAGAGATAGTGAAACAACATACTATATCATGTTACTCCGCCGTCGCCTGCAACTGGCGCAAAGAGCGTTTGTACACTTAAGATATCTTAAAAGAAGACTGTAACCCCCTTGGTAATATTGAAAGAAGCCTTATTGGGTGAGAGTCATCTCACCGTGGCAGTATACGGAATCAACGCTTATTGCTGCGCTGCGATGCGAATGGGATATGGACAAGGGCGGTCAGGGGCTCAGGGCTGAATCAGGCCACCCTGAACCAACCAAATGCGGTGATAGAAGCGGTAGGAGCCAACCGGCAGAACAGTTATTTCGGGGATTAGCCGCATCCCACGCCCCCAGATCCAGATTCCATTGCTTCGACAGAGATACTCCATACTATACTCCGTAGACACATACATGCCTGAGTATCTCAGAGTCTCTTGTCTGTACATCGTACTACTCATGCACACTTAAACTGCAAGTAAATAAAGACAAACCCACTTTGTTTCTTCGCTTTGCGAGAATTCGACAGCCCACGGACCTAGGTAGAAAAAGTAGGCATGTCACCTGCCCGTTTGCTCCGTCTGGTTAGAGATGTAAGATGGCCAGTAACGGTTGCGACTTTACCCGACGAAAACAAGAGCATCACGTGGTACCATTTGTGGAAGTCATCCTTTCTTCAGCTTCAAAAAAATTCCCTCCATTGTATGAATATACACTCATCAAAAGGGGCTTTCAAGAGACCATCTATCTACTTCCGCTTCATCTTTTACAGCGGAGTTGCCATTCACTGCCCCGCGGCATGACGTCTGTGCTGTTCCTCTGCTTCCTCACCGCATCGACTGTTGGGCTTAATGTGATCCAGCCAGTTACAATTCTTGCCATTTCTGCAACGAATCCCCTGTAAGACAGCCGGATCTGTCATCATCTTATTCGAGGAAAATATACCATCGATTTCTCAGGCGATAAGGTGAAGAAATTTCGCCCCTACTTTTCTGTCCTGCTTCGCCAGAAATTCGTACGATCTTTAATTCGGCTGTCTGTCCGGTCGGGCGACTCTTGGCCGAGGCTAGAACCTATTTCCCCGACGTGCTGGGTCATACATAATATAGGAAATTTCCAACAGAAAGACAGTTCGATTGCTAAAATGACTTCTGGGAGCTCGAATCGGAGAGGCTCTGGTCACAAGAGCTTCTTTGCCAGTGTAAGTGCTTCTATTTCCTTGTGCTGCGTTTTGTTCACGGCTTGTTTATTTTCTTGGAGTATGGGATCTGCTTTAAGCCATAAGAGCTTGTGTATGTATCTGTCCTGTCGCTTTTGCTTCCTTAACAAGGCTTCGGCTATCTTCAAGGCGCATTGGCACGAAACGACAAGGATAATTGAACGGAAAAAGAAAAGGAGGCACGGCAGGCAGAGAACAAGCATGATCCATCCCTTACCCCTGGACTATGCTTTCAAAAAGTTTCATTTCTGTTGGTTAATATTCACTGCCCTTGCTCTCTGAGGGTTCTATTTCCCCTCTTTTTATTACTGGGAGAGTGCTCTTGGGACAGACATACAGAAAGACATTGCATGATACCTCATACGATCACTTAACTCACGCATCTACAGTCAGATGAAACAAAAATCTGTGTGGTCATGGTTGGCCTTCCAGCCAGGGGCAAGAGTCTCATAGCTGGAAAGGGTAGGTACACCCTCATTCGTTTGACTATCAAAGATAGGGGGTTGACGATATTATATGTAGCGATGCGATATCTTGCTTGGGTTGGTATTCCAGCGAAAGTGTTCAATGTTGGCACCTATCGGCGACAGGGAACTCCGCAGCCAACAGCTACTTTTTTTGACCCTCATAACACCGAAGGGGAGAGAATGAGGAGAGCCGCGGCAGAGGCGGCAATGTCAGACATGCTCAACTGGTTCAAAGCCGGCAAAGGCGTTGTAGCTATTCTTGATGCGACCAACTCCACAAAAACGCGACGTCGGTGGATCTACGAGACCTGTCGCGATGCTGATATTGAGACTCTGTTTGTCGAGTCAATATGCGACGACGAGGACCTCATAATGAATAATATCCTCGAAGTCAAAACCACCTCACCGGATTACAAGGGACAGGATCCCGAAGTAGCCGCCATGGATTTTCGAAACCGCATCCGCAATTATGAGAAGGTTTACGAAACCATTGATGATAATGAGAAACATTTCACATATGTAAAACTCATCAATGTCGGCTCCACTGTCATCATCAACCAAATAAAAGACTATCTTTCAAGTCGATTGGTGTACTACATTCAGAATCTACATATCAAGCCTCGCTCAATTTGGCTTTCTCGCGTGAGTGATGACCAAGCATGTATAAGACAGTGTGGTGCTAACAGTTGTTCAGCATGGCGAGTCTGAATATAACCTCACGGGAAAAATTGGCGGAGACTCAAACATTTCAGCACGGGGCGAAGCTTATGCTCGAGCTCTTCCCGGTCTTCTGCGAAAGTCTGGAGTTCCTGCTAATGCCAAAGTCGTCATTTGGACTTCCACTCTCAAACGAACGATACAAACTGCTCGGCACCTGGCGGGTGAGACAGGCTACGAGAAATTAGAGTGGAAAGCTCTCGACGAACTTGACTCCGGTGTCTGTGACGGGCTCACGTACGAGGAGATTGCAGAGAGGTATCCCGATGACTTTGCAGCGCGTGACGAAGACAAGTACAACTATCGTTACCGAGGTGGCGAGTCCTACCGTGACGTTGTCATTCGTCTGGAACCAATCATCATGGAACTGGAGCGCAGTGAAAATGTCATCATCGTCACTCATCAAGCTGTTTTGCGCTGCATCTATGCGTACTTCCTAAACATTCCTCAGGAGCAGAGCCCGTGGATGGAGGTTCCTCTTCATACGTTGATCAAGCTCACGCCTCGTGCGTACGGCACCGAAGAACAGCGCTTCAAAGCTGATATACCCGCTGTCTCCACTTGGCGTGCAAAGGGCACCTCAGCGAAGCATCAGGATTTTCCCACCGAAGTAAAGCATTGAAGCGCAGATATATATTCACATTCTCTCCCGGCTTTTTGGGCTTGTTCAGTTCTCCCGCAGGCTGTGCCTCATCCTTTACCCACCAATGTTCATCAGAGTCTCGTGCCTGGTCGCCAAGACCAGCAAGCTTTTCTACATCTTGTAATGGACGCCTCTCATGATAGCCTTGTTCTTGCTCGACAGTGCTTTCTATTTTCGAGCATATGATCAGTCAACTCAGTGGATAACACCGGTTGTACCGATGTTGCAACGTCCGACTATTTAATGGACTGCTCGATATTTTTGATTGCTCTTCCCTTTGCCCTGTTTCAATTGTTCTCTCCTCAATGCATAGAGCTCCCTACCCGTCATCCTGTCTAGTCCATTGGTCCCGGCTGCAGCCGGGGAGATCTTCAGATACCAGAGGCACTTGAAGCGCAAAGTGCTTTTATGTCACATATAAGTCTCATCTATTTTAGAACTGTATATCGCTGAATGCACAAGGGTAATGGCTGTAGATCCAAGCCAGTGCTCGAGGTACCTTATGACGTCTTCAGATGAAATGCGGGCAGAAACGCTCAATAATAGCGATATGATTGGCTGAGGTAAAAGACGGTGAGGGTCAGCTGTGTCACATGAGAGGGCGGGAAGCAACCGTCGCTACGGGGTACATGGTGTTCCCAGGGAATTCAGGTAGCTCCAAACCACAAGACGCCATGCCCAGGGCAGCATTTTAGCTGCGCTCAACCCCTCATTTCTTCTAATTAGATATGAATCTGGACTGTGCTCTCAGTGGTGAAGACGCCCGATCAGAGGAGCTCGCCGCCGAGCCATGTTATCCGCTTTCACGGCTCGGCCACTCGTCGAGCTCAAACAACGCGACAAATCGAAAATAGAGTCGGTCCTTGCATACGGGGACCGTCTTCTGGTAGGACTGAACAATGGTAGTTTGCGGATATACAGGGTCAATGAGGTCTCCAATGGCAGGCAAGCAGAGGACGATCATCATGGCGAGGGCGAAGAGGGTGGAAGTACGATGAATAACGGGGATAGCAGCAGGCCTGCGACCATGAGCTCCGTCACGAACCTAAAGCCTAAACAAAGCGAGCTACTTCGGGAGTTGGAAAAATTTTCCAGATATAAAGTTGAACAGTTGGTGTTGGTCAAGGAGGCCAAGCTTCTCATCTCGCTTTCCGGCGGATACGTCTCGATTCACGACTTACAGACCTACGAGTTCCAAGAGCAGCTTACGAGGACCAAAGGTGCGACTACCTTTGCTGTGACTTCGAACATAGTTCACGACCCGAGACCGGCGTCCCGTCGATCGTATCGCGCCTTGCCGTGGCGGTTAAGAGAAAGATCCTGCTGTGGACATGGCGCGATATGGAGTTGGAGAACGATACGGCGGAAATGAGCCTGGCTAGTGGCATAAAAACACTCACGTGGGTTTCTGGAACAAAACTCGTCGCTGGGTTGAGCTCGAATTTCGTCATGGTGGATATTGAGACCACGAATGTCACGGAACTGGTCGGACCGGGCAGCATTGGTGGACTACCTGGACAGGAAACAGGGCGACTGGCCGGTGTTGGCGTTGCTAGTATGAGCTATATTGGGATTGGCGGAACTGCTCCTAAACCGCTGGCCACGCGACTAAGCGAAGGGCAAGTATTACTGGCGAAGGATATCAACACTCAATTTGTTGACATCGAGGGCAATCCCTTGGGAAGAAGGCAGATTCCTTGGAGTCATGCCCCCTCCGAAATTGGGTACTCGTATCCCTTTCTGCTGGCACTGCATGACTCTTCGAAGGGAGTGCTGGAGGTTCGAAATCCCGAGACCCTGAGCTTACTCCAATCGATACCATTACCATCGGCGAGTCTCCTGCATATCCCTCAGCCCTCAATCAGCTTGGCTCACGCTGGCAAGGGATTCTTGGTTGCTAGTGACCGAACCATCTGGAGAATGGAGGCTTTGAGCTACGACACTCAAATTGATGCTCTCGTAGAAAAGGGATATTTGGATGAGGCGATCAGCCTCGCTAATATGCTTGAGGACGCCCTTCTCACGGACAAATATGGTCGTCTACGCTCCATCAAACTTGAAAAGGCGCAGACGTTGTTCTCTCTCCGAAAATACCTCGAGTCTATGGAGCTCTTCACGGAGATCTCGGCTCCTCCCGAGACCGTCATTCGGCTTTACCCGCGAGTTATAGCAGGCGATCTTTCGTCCATTCCCGAAGAGCAAGAAGGATCGGAGGCCGGTACGACGGATAGTCAGCCAAAACCCGAACAGGAGCAGAAGCAAGACACAGTCCCTGCTACGTCGGATGATGCTGCGCTTGCCAGAACGCTGGCGAATACGCCCTCAGCGAGGTCCCTCCTTCGGACGAAGACAGATGATACCAGCGATGCAGGTAGCATCCGCAGCAAGCTCATGGAAGATTCTCGGAGCGACAAACGCCTTGAAGGAAAAGACCTCAAGCTTGCTGTTCGTGAACTCCAAGCCTACCTGGCGGATGTTCGCCGGCGATTCCAGCGATTTCTGAATCCCGATGGCACGCTCAAGATGGACCCTACAGCTGATGCGTTGAAAGATGAATTTACCGAATCCGTCATGAAGTTGCTTGAAATGGACAAAGATGGAGGCGAGGATGACTTCGGTGAGAGGCTTCGAGCCAAAGCTAAACTCGTCGACACAACGCTCTTCCGAGTTTATATGTATGCAACGCCGTCCCTGGCTGGCTCCCTCTTCCGTATCGCCAACTTTTGTGATCCGGACGTGGTTATTGAAAAGTTGGAGGAGAGTGGCCGCCAAAACGACCTCATTGATTTCCTCTACGGGAAGAAGATGCATCGTCAAGCCCTGGAGCTCCTGAAAAAGTTTGGCCAGGCTGAAGTGGACGGAGAGACTGCGTCCCAGCTTCAGGGTCCGAAAAGAACTGTTGGCTATCTGCAGAATTTGTCTCCCGAGCATATTAATCTGATACTAGAATTTGCTGAGTGGCCGATACGTGAAGAGCCTGACCTGGGCATGGAAATTTTCCTTGCGGATACAGAGAACGCGGAAACATTGCCTCGTCATCGAGTACTAGGTTTTCTAAAAGGGATTGATGTCCGTCTGGCTGTTAGGTATCTTGAGCATGTCATTGGAGAATTGAATGACATGACTCCGGATCTCCACCAGAGCCTTCTCAGCCTTTATTTGGATCGCTTGGAGGAACAAAAGAACAAAGAATGGGAGTTCGCCAGTGAAGAAGACAGGACCGATTGGCGGAACAAGCTGCTGGACATGCTAAGGACCAGCTCTCAGTATTCGCCAGCGAAGATTCTTAACCGTCTTAATCGAGATGGTAAGTCCAGGGCTGGCAAGCCCTTGGCCAGGGCACATATATTGATCTAACTTATCTTTACAGATCCTGAGTTCTTCGAGGCAAGAGCGATCGTTTTCAGTAAGATGGGGCAACACAGACAGGCGCTAGAGATATACGTGTTCAAACTCGAAGACTATACCAAGGCAGAAGAGTCAGTCCTTACTACTTATGAGCCTAGCCAGGCCACTGCTAAAATCTGGTTCGCAGGTATTGCAATCACCTTCACAAGACCGAAGACGCCACGAGCACAGAGACGACGGCTATACAAAATATAGCCCTTCCGGATTTTGAGGGAGAAAAGCCTTCCATATACCTAACACTTTTATCTCTTTACTTGTCTCCGCCGCACGGATACAAACCACGATATGGACCCGCGCTAGAGGTGCTCGCAAAACACGGATCCCGCCTTCCTCCAAACTCGGCTCTTGAACTGATCCCGGAAACACTGCCAGTCAAGGAACTGCAATTCTATTTCAAAGGTCGTATGCGGGCGGCAACTTCTATACTCAACGAGTCCAGAATTGTGGCCAACCTGCAAAAGTCGCAGAGTATCAAGACACAAGCGCAGCTCTTGGTTGGCGAGGGTGGTGACGTGAAGGCATCGAGGTCGAGGCATGTCACGATCACAGAAGAAAGGATCTGTGGGATTTGCCATAAGCGACTTGGTGGAAGTGTTATCAATGTCTTCCCCGAGTAAGTCTCTCAATCAATCGAGCCATGTGGTGGCTTTCCATCCGTCTTCCGCGGACTCTCACTGACATTCATAGCAATACTGTTGTCCATCTTGGCTGTGCCAATCGCAAAGCTTCCCTTTCTTCCTAATTCATTTCTACTGTAACTCGAAAGTTGATGTGGTCTTCTCACATCTAACTCTTTTTTCTCTTGTTCTTCCTTTCTGGTGTGTCTCAATTGTATGTTGTATGCGCAGCGTGGAAATGTGAATAATATGGCGGGAGCTTCAGGCAATGTGATACCCCAGGATAGCATGAATGTCCAAGGAGTCGATTGAATTTGAATTGATTGCCGGCGTCGTCGTTCGGTCTTGTTGTGCAGCGGAATGAAAGATTGGCTCCGGCGAAGAGATCCATTCCCGATGTCATGGACCAAAGTACTGTTTTACGCAAGAAAAGCTTAAGTATCCTCCTCGACCACCTCCTCGCCGTAGTTCTCTTCTTCCTTGGCTTCTTTCGCAGACAACTGACGTCCTTGCGCTTCCGCTTCCTTCTTATCTTCTTCCATTCGCTCCGTTAAAAAGACATTGATTTCGTCTTGCAACTTCGGTACCAGACTCCTGAGTTCGGAAAGATAAGCCACCTTAACTTTCGTGTTTTCCGGTGAGGGGTTGGAAGAAGCGATGGGGGAGGAAAGCTTATATTCGAATGTGCGTGTCGATGGCTGAGGAGATTCGTAGACAGCGCGGAGGACCTGCTGAGAAGAATTGTTTGAGGCCATGATGATGATAGTGCAAAACAAATAGAAATTTTCTTGCTTGATGCGTGTTTCGAATAAGGAATTTGGTGGAGACAAAGTTCAATTCAACAAGAACCTTGAACTGTGAGACTGCAAAATGGTGGAAACTCGAAGGAAAGAGAGTTGCTGGGCAGGCGGGGCCAACAGGAGAAGGCGGCGTCGTTTCAAGTGCAGCTCAGGCCCAGTCGACGTCGAGATCGACGATGATAGGCAATGTCCCTCGTTTCTTGGTGCTGGTCTGGACCAGTTACCTACATATATCGAGGACTAGAAAGATTGGGAATGAAAACTACCTGGAAAAGGGATCATGGGGGCACATTTGTGATGCCCAAATTGCTTACTGACTAACCACGACTCGTCTTGTCTCATTCCGGACACGTCCTCTATGATGTTACGCTCTCCAATCCCACCTGAGCGCACCTCCTCCCGATCCCCAGCTCCACCGCGCCCATCCTTTGACGACGAACTAGAACGACCTGGCTCCTCTGGGAGTGATGCCTCTTCAGTTGCATCCAATGTGACCACTGTGTCTGCTATTCAGAGTTCCCTCAACGACTTCGGTGCTGCGCCAGGCACTTCCTCTCCCCGGATACCCCGGACTTCGAGCACCAACGGCAGTGGCACCACAGACGAAAATCCCAGGCGCCCGTCCGCCTCATCCTTGATGCCCCAGAATGAGATGACCAGCAGGAAGACTTCCGGTCGCGTCGTCCCGCCCGATCTGTCGAGGCATCGGCCACGACACCACTCGCAGGGCTTCTTCGAGCCATCCCTCCCCACAGCGTCACTATCAGATGTCACACTTTCCGCATCAAGAATCGCAGCCCAGACTGCGATGCAGCAGCAGTCGTCCGCTGCGCAACACCCGCCGAAACGATTGCCGACCAACATCCAGGGCCCTGATGGAAGGGGTGGAAGCATCTCGCCCCCTCCCCCACCGCCACAACAAGTGCTGGCAGCCCCTGGCTCCGGAACCACGTCGGGGCAATCATATCAGAATGGAATTGCTGGTGGAAATGCTGCGGCTACAACAGCTGCCAACGTGGTGTTTCCTCGAGGACCTGCGCTTCAACCGGGGATGCCCGGTGATCAAGCGCAGCCAGAGCGTGAGCAGAAGCAGAAGGGCGATAAGCCGAAGATGAAGTTGTTTTCGAAGCCGAAGCATATTGGAATCAGCCGAGACAAGGATTCTTACGGGAAGGATAAGGGTATACCGTCACCAAGCAAAATGGGCTTTCCGGGTTCTAGTGGGTTATCACGCATCGTCAGCGGCTCGACCGATACGCTGCCCTCGAACAACTCGTCGATGTATAGTTTATCCAATGCATCTGTGAGTACGGTAGTACCAGCGGACAGGCAAACATCCAGCGAGAAGGATAAGGATAAGGATAAGGACAAGGACAAAGCCCACAAGCATCATTTCCTGTCGAGGCAGAAACTCAAACTGAAGGACAGAGACGATCATTACAACCTGCCTCTATCTTCTGCGTCTAGCAATTCCAAACCGTCTGATCCCAACGCACCACAGTCTCTTTATTCTTTTACTCCGGCGTCTCCTAACGCAGGGTCGACAACATTCAGCAAAACTGTTGGCGGGTTGGACCTCTTGCACGGTGGTCGGGCGCTTCGAGAAAAAAAGAAAGAGGAGAAGCTGAGGGAGGAAATAGAGCAAGACTTGGTGGTTAGTGGCGCTACGCCAGCTGTCTTTTCGGGGCCGTCTTCCCTTGGAAACTCGACAGGACTCTTGCCCGAAGCTGCCCTTCGGGAGACTTTGTCAGGTTTCGGACTCCACAATATGACTCCGGATGATGCCTGGGATTTCTTGAAGGCGAAGCTATTGGTTATATTTGATGGTGAGGACGTTCGTATAGCAATTGAGGACCTGAACAAGTTGGTCCTTATTCACATTCAACGCTGCGTGCAGAAGCGCACACCAACCGCCATTGTCGACGATCTACGAGAGTTACTTGAGACAGGATGTGCCTCGTTAAATCATACGCTGAACGGAGTGCCTGACGAGAAACTGGTCCCTCATTTGGTGCAGATATGGCTACTGGTTTTTGGCACCATTCTTCCATTTATTCAGGCTGTATTTTTGCCTCTCGATCTAGAGTTTCGAGGCGCGGGTTCAGTGATGAATCTACGGGAAGCAAAGGATTTCTGGAACTCTGTACCGACCGGCAAGGACTTTGAAAATGAGCTCGAAGTTCGACACCTGGTCCTGGTGGCTTTCCGTGACATGGTTGTTCTAAAACGTTATGAAGGCTTGAAGGCTACATTTTCTCGCTTGAGTCTTGATAGCATCAATGTGGGCTCGTCGGCTCTCAGCATCACAACAAAGAGCAGTAACAATAGCGGTCGACCTGCCACGGCCGCTTCTCTCGATGCTGGCTTTGGCAGCTACAATTCTCAATCATCTACGCTCCTCAATACGGCGGGCAGTTACTCCTCTGACTCGATGAGCAATCGCAGCCGTGCTGCATCAAACACCTCGTCCAATCCGGACCAACTTATTTTCCAATCCTTCTCATCTCCAAATCAACGCGCAACCGTCATTCACAGGGCCTCACATACGGCAGATACCTCCCAACTCATTACTGAGACGGTGGGGCGGATGCTACAGTGCCTCAGTGTCCTGGCCAGTGTGCAGACAGGTGATGAAGCGCAAGAGAAGATTGAAACTCTGAGCAAAGCACTGAAACACAACTGGCTCGGACGTGGGCGGACAGGGCGGGACCGACGCGGATTTGTCGGAGCGAAGATTCGGCCCAGCATAACGACACACACGAATAGTGATGAATCTACGAATGATCCAAGAAATGGCGATCTAGGCTGGCAAATGCATGACGGGCGCCAGCAAGTGAGTGTCCTGTGAGACTCTGGAGGGAAGTTAAACTCTTGCAGCTTATTTTCTTACTTATGATTGGCCTGGCTATGGCTACCTTGATCCTTTTGTCTTTCTCTGGCATAGAATAGATACTTCTTGGTGGAATGATTTATTGCCTGGGGTATCTGGTGTGTATGGTTGTCACATTGAGCTGGGCCTCGAACTACCATGATGGGTTTCATCTTCCTGTTCTTTCGATTCTGGTCACTGGTTATCGAGATTCACGAAAACCAAGTTCAACTCCATTCTCCGTATCTGTACGCCCATGACCACCCTGGGAACCCCTCCGCCGAATTAGCTGAAAAGAAAAAGTGGGCTTCGCAAGTCCTGATTAATCTTGCTTTCCATACTGCAAAAGCGATTTCTCTAGTCCTCAGGCTCAACTGCAGCTGCAGACTGAGCCCTCTTGTTCAGCTCTTTGAACTTCTTCTGGATCGCATTCGCAGGATAGTTGTTTCCTCCATCCGCAGCAACAGCCTCGGCGATCTTATGCCATTTCTCCAGCTCGAACTTCTCCTCGACTTCTTTCTTCACCTTGAGAATCCTGGCTTCCTAAAGGCAGACAAGCACAGACGCATTCAGTCTCCTATCCACAGGGACAAAATCAAGCTCAAGCCGGACATATCACTTACATCTTCTGCACTGATGGAGACGAAGTTCGCCTTCATGGCTGTGTAGCGCTTCCGCAGCGTGCTCCCTTCAACCCTGATACCGGTCATTCTCGTCCAGGCATTGGTGATCTCAGACCAGCTACGGCCTTCCTCGTCTCTCATCCGCAGAACCATCTTGTTGGCCAACCCGGCTGATTCCAAAGTGGCCGGAATAGGACCCAAGCCTTTCTTGGGCGAAGTCTTTCCCTTCTTGGTCTCGGTACTGTCTGCGTCTGCGTCGCCGTCTGCGGTCTTCTTCCGGCCTCGCTTGCGAGGTGTTGCGGTTGCTGGGGCCGAGGTTGGCTGTGGTTCCTATGTGGTATTAGGTTGCTGCATCTTTAAAAGGCGGCTGTACTGCTTACCTCTGCGGCTCCGGGAAGCACGTTGCTTGACTGGTCGTTCTCGACCTTGATCTCGGCGACATCCATGTCGGTGTTGATGAGGGTGAAGGTAGAAACTCTGAGGACTGGTCCCGTCTGGTCGATGAGAGAGGATGTGTCGAGGCTCATCCTTGAAGGACTGATATGCTATCAATGAAGTTGTCTCAACCAGAGACTTGTGACTGTGGAGGGTATATCTGTGGATTGAGAGGTGAGAATGAGGATGGATGTGAAGAGAAGAACAGGGAGAAAGATAGGGAATTTATGTTGAGTTCAGGGTAGCAGGAGTATAACACCGGGCTCTCTATGCCTATGTTGGTTTCATTCACTGGACCATGTGAAATTCTGGCAAGTGTGAGAGAATTCTGTGTTCATCAATCAACTAAATGATAATAGTTGTATCTGGGTGCAATGTGTTTCCAAGAATTTGTTCTCAATGAGCTTTGTGGTCAATAAGCCATACTGTCTAGACAGCATGGCAGATAGCATATACAGAATCACTTAAATTGTCATATCTCAGGACTAAGTTCATTCCCGAATTTGGCAACTTTGATGCTTCTTTTCCACATTGTGTACACTGGCGGTCTTACCAGGCTCTAGAACAATAAGACAGTCAGAAGCCAAGAAACATCTCTTGAAGAAGCAATCCTCACTGCCGTCCAGTTCGTCAATATATTGTTGGGTATTAGCGTATGTTGACACTTCAGTAAGAGGCATCTCATACGAGTTGACTATGTACTCTGAGTGATCCGTGATCCAATTTGTTTTGCGTATCTATCCGACTTTAATTGCTTGCTTCCTGTAACTTATTTAGAACACGAATCCTTTCTGGTCTCGGTCGTTGAAACTGCCATGGCGCTGCCCTGGAACCGCCACAACACAGCTATCACATTCTGTGACATTACAGCAAGCGGGAAATGCGTCAAGTAGTCTACAGATAATCTGGCGACTGTACAGTTGAATAATCCTGGTCGAATTTCAATTCGCCCGTCGAGGATTCCTTGTCTCCATTCGGTGACGATCATCTCAGTTCAAAGTGAGGCTGCAGCTTTGACATCGGGAAAGGTTCTATAATATGATTGCAATGGTCTAAACTCATAATTTTATATTTTTGATCATCTACCCCCAGTCGTCCATTGACAATAAGAAGGTCGTTGCGAAATCACAGACCACCTATTCTCCTTGGTACTGGAACACAAGTCTGCGGCAATGCAGTACGTACGGGGCCAGGACGGGTCTACCCTAAGTGAGCAAAAGTACCATCAAG